CTGGTCCTACTTTAAAGTTAGAAACCTGTACTATACAGAAGTGAGACATGAAAGAGCCCTGAGCTCTGAATAAGGCCTGTTCACAGTGCAAGCAGACCCCAACTACCTTATGAGGTATGGTAGCTTTTCTCTGTTTTGACACCTCATATTGTATTGTATTGTATTGTACAATATTGTATAATACAATATTGTATTGTATTGTGTGCCAAGTACTGTGCTGGCTTCATACACTTTTAAATGTTACTATGGGGTAGTTACTATCATCCTACTTTTCCCTCTCTACATTTCCTAGGTCAGGAAATGGAAGCCAGAGATCCTATAGCTAGTAAGAGGGCAAGGCTAGGAACTGGGCCCATGTCTGCTTCTCGACAAAACTGCACTGCCTCTCTAGTCTCAGATCTGAAGGGTTAACTTCAGGAACTTTTCTTCTGGTAAAGAATGTGAGTCTGAAAAAGGCTATTGGAAGAGGATGTGCAGTGTTCTTTTTCTGGATACGCTACCACTCAGAGTATGGACCCTTGGCACACACAAAAAGGATGACTCCCGTAAGCGTTCAGAGTTTCCTGAATGATTTCCTACAATTCTGCCGTGTCAACTCCTGCTTTGGTGGGTGGTGTTGAGAGGTACACATAAGCAGGCACTGTTTTACAAGCCGTGGGTGAGAAATGTGTTTACCCACTGAATATGCTACTTAAAATTTTCATTAGGAAAAGCTGAAAAGTTCCACATGTTCAATGCCATAATGAGACGAGCTTTACACTCTGGGTGGCAGGATGGCATGCATGTTGTCCTCCATCCAAGTAGTGCTTCTGGGCATGTGGTAGTTTCTCCCCTGGAACTAGGGCAACACCCTAACTATCATAGCTCAGCCATGGCTTGGTCTAGAGAGATAGCTCTGCTGTCCATTGAGAAGAATCCTTCTTGGGTCTGAGAACAAATCTTACTTACAGGTAAAGGCCAATAAACAGGCCAGCGAGTGTTGAAGGCTTAGGTTATATTTGAAGTTTTAAAAAAGACAGTGCAGCTGGGCGTGGTGGTGCACACCTGTAATCCCAGCACTTGGGAGGCTGAGGCAGGAGGATTGCTGTGAGTTCGAGGCCAGCCTGGGTTACAAAGTGAGCTCAAGGCCAGCCTAAACGGCATAGCAAGACCCTGTCTCAAAAAAAAAAAAAAAAGACAATGTCGACTTCCTGAATTGTGTTTGCTATAAATGACTCATGGGCTCAGACAGTTATGAAACAAACTACTATTGCTGTGGTAACATCCTGCAATAAAAGAAATAGGATTTGTTAGTGACAATTTTTTAAAAAGCATGTACTGTCAGAAGGTAAATATATTTCAACTGCCTGTATTGCTTTGCATATGTCTCTTTAGAATTTCTTACATTTTTAAGACATGAAATAATACATAAAAATAATAAAAAGGCACACAATTGGAAAGGTTAAAAAAAAACCAAAACACTTTTTCTCCTCCCCTACCTCAATCCTAGTCTCTCTCCTTAGAAGTAATCAGAGTTAACAGTTTATATTTCTAGCAAGAAGCTGGCACATATGTTAGAAAATAGGTTTTAGTTTGATAGAGTGAGGTAGATCCTCAGTTTTTTCCCTTCCAAACAACTGAAGATTATCTTAACATCGTTTATTGGAAAATGCCAGTATTTTCCCCACTGAAATTCAAACCAAGTCATATATTAAATTCTCAGATACATGTGGACCTTTTCTGACACTTCTTTCTCACTGAATTGCCAATTATTTCCCTACTACTTTTTTTTTTTTTTTCCGGTACCAGGAATCGAACACACAATCTCACGCTTGCCAGGCAGGTGCTGTGCCGCTGAACTAAATCCCCAGCCCCATCCCTACTACTTTAAAAATGATAGGAAGTTCACTTATCTTGTGTTGTTTGGCCTGGTCTTCTCTCACTTCTCATTCTCAGACTGTTTATGTCTCCCATATTTGTCTTGGTCAAGTTCCCCAAACTAATCCTTGTAAGTGGGATTTCATTTGACTTCTAATTTGGAAAGATAATAAAATTCAGTCTTCCCCTCTCGGTGGAGTTCTACTTTTCCTCATATAGATGCTTCCTATTTGTTTCACTCACACTTACATATTTGATCATTTTGATTGCTGTTGTGAAAAGAAACGTCTTCTTACATGTGTTTTTAAGTGGTTATTTGTCTATAGGAAAGCTTTTTATTTATTAGCTCAGTAATCGTTTAACTAAATTATCTTGTTTTAAGATGGTTTCCTAGTCGATTTAGGGTTTTTTAGATTTAAAATCAATCATATCCTCTGAAACAGACAATACATTTTGCCTTTTTTCAAATGCTTTCTTCATTGTGATGACTTGTGATTCCAGAAAAAGCCTGAATAATGGTGTTGCAAATGGATGTCCTTTTGCTGTTATGTTAGTGAGAATATTTGTGATTTTTAATTAAAAATGATGCTTTTAGTTTGAAATGTTTATTTTTATAAAGTCAATAAAATATCTATGTATTTCTATTTTCCTGGTCTCCCCCTGCCTTTTCTGGCAGCCAGAAATAAATATTGAATTTTTCAGAAGTTCTAAAACCACTTTTTTTCTTTTTAATTATAATATAATGAATTCTTTTAATAGGGTCCTAACACTGAATCATCTTTATATTTTTTCATCATGGTATGATTTTATAAAAATACTAATGAAGTCAGGTGTGGAAGTGCATGCAAATAATCTCCGCTACTTTGGGGGCTGAAGCAGGAGGATTGCAGTTTGAGCCCAGTCTGGGCAATTTATTGACTTACTAGAGACCTTGTCTCAAAGTAAGAAACAAAAACCGGACTAGGGATGTAGCTCACTGTGAAGGTCCTGGGTTTAATCCTCAGTACCAACAACAAACAAAACCCAAAAATCAAACCTGTTGAGTATCTTCTGTTAGCATATTATTTTTCTCCCTATGCTGGGGATCCAACGTAGGGCCTTAAACATACTAAGCAAGTGCCCTACTACTGAGTTCATGTATTAATATTTTTTCTTTTTTTCTGAACTCAATCAGGTTTTGATATCAGTGTTACACTGACTTTGTAAAAATAGCGTAGAAGTCTGTTATATCATGTGTTTAGAGGTCCCTCCAAAGCCTCTTTTTCAGAGGTGGCTGGATCTAGAGTGTGTGTTTGATTCATGGTAGAATGCTGGGATTAAGGGTGCTAGGATTAGGGGGTATGATTACTAAATCAGCCCACTGGTTGGTTTGGCACTGCCCTAATCCTGGTAGCCTGGATACAAAATGAGGGACACAAAGAGGCTTATCTTGTCCCTTGCTTGCTTACTTTTGCTGTCTCCTGCCTGCCATGAACTGTTTTTCCTCTGCAATACCTGTCAGGCCACCTTGCCTTGGAGCCAGAAGACTATAGGGTGAAACCTCTACAAACTATGAACTATATAAACCTTTCCCCCTTTAACTTTGGGTGTTGAGTATTTTGTCTCAGTAATGAGAGAAAAGTAACTAACACAAAGTGTTTTTCTTTATTTCTTGAAAAAGTTTGAGTAGTATCAGAATTATAACCAATGAAAGTTTGAAAGAGTTAACTCATAAAAAATCTGGGCCTCATTCATTTTTTGAAAGCTACTTGATTTGATAATGTGTTTATTTTCTTCTGTGTTAACATTGGTCTGCTTAGATTTTTCTCTCTATTCTAGGGTCAGGTTTGCTAATTTATATTGTCCTAGCAAATTGACCATTTTTGCTCACACCTATTGGCTTTGCAAAGTGCTCTGGTAAACCCTACACTTTCATCCGTGTTTCTCTCATCCTGTTAATCTTAATGTATACCCCCTTCCTTCTGGATTATACTGGCCAATGGCTTTTGAGTTTATCAGTTAACAGGTCTTTCAAATGCTAGCTCTTGATCAAATCTATTAAAGATGGGAGGGTGACAAATTTAGTTAAGGTTGAGTGTCTCAGGGGCAGCAGAGGAGAGACAAAGCAAAAGCAAATAGTGAAAGGGAGTATGTAAGTTTTCCCAAGGCAGCGTCCCTGGGCATCTACCCCAGGCCATACCAGCCTCTATCCACGTGGGCAAGGCATTCGCTCTGAGCTTACCATCCTCAGGGTCTCTAACATGTCAGTGGGTGAGAAGAAAGGCTTGAGACTGTCCCTGAATTTGAATGGGACCTCGGGCTGGCCCACAGCACAGTATTTTTAGGTTTTTTTTTTTTTTTTCTTTTTTCTTTTTTTTTTTGAGACAGGGTCTTTCCATGTAGTCCAGACTGGCCTTGAACTCACTATGTAGCCCAGGCTGGCCTCAAACTCATGGCGATCCTCCTGCCTCAGCTTCCCGAGTGTTGGGATCACAGCTGTGTGCCATCACACCTGGCAGTGCTGCACGGTTTTTGATGGCTGCTTTCACCTGTTTTCCTGGACAGCCAACTACAGGCCGTGAGGGCGTCCCTTGGGTGTCCTCAACAATGCAGAGCTATGTTCTGGACATACTGAATGTGCAGAAGGCAGGGAGCGCCGAATGTACCATAGGACTGGAGCCCATGTGCGAAGGACTCTAGACCTCCAGGAGGTTCCTCTGTTGTTCCCAGATCCCTAAAGGTGCCCCCGGCCACTCGTTTGACGCTTTCCGGATTCATGGTGGACCTCCAGGCTTGGCTGTGTTAGACTAGCACTGCTTTTTCGATCAGTACTGTGGCAGTGGCGGGGCTCTCCCCCGCATTGGCGTTAGGTCCCTAAGCTGCTGGCTGATGAGCCCTAGTGCGCATGTCCTGCTCTCTCTGCCCTGGGGACTTAGCTGAGCCCTTTAGCCACCTTTGGTGCCATGTGGGACCAGGGGCACGATCTCGACCGATGCCTAGCCTGGGAACTCAAAAATCTCCCAACCCACCCCTTGGGGCTGCCAGCCAGCCAGGGAGGAAGGGGTTCCAGGGACCACGTAGTAGAGTACCGACCCCACAGTAGGCTGTTCAGTAATTTCTTCTTCCACCTCCCATACTGAGATTAAAATAAGAAATGCAGAATATATATGAAAGAATAAAGAAATACATTTAATACTCAGGACCAACTAAAAAGAAATATAAAATTACAAAACTTCCTTTTTGCCTTGAACGGTTTTTCTCTCGTTAGGACCACTTGGATTAAACAAGAGTTTCCGGTAAATTAGGATGCCATCAGCAATACAGCACAGTGCTGCCACAAATCCAACCACCTGGGAAGAAAGACACACTGTCATTATGTTTTTGATGTGGTCTGCTCATGGGACTCCTCTCCTGCTAGGGTACTAAGATTGCTCCCTGCGCTGTTAATATTAAAACGGGAAGAGACTTTAGAGCCTCTTCCTGTCCTACCCTCTTCAGTGCCAAGATTCTCCAATACCCGCTGACAGGAAAAGGACAATTTGAGAGAGCAGAAATAACACAGATGTAGTGTGGACTCTGTCTTTAGCTCTTCATTTGCTCGTGCACATATTCTTTTAGCCCCATGACTATAATATTTAGTTATTCCTATCCACAATGATCAACTGTTGACTTCCTTGCTGTGAAACTTTACAGGAGAAAGGGTCAAAGCTAATACTATCTCAAGGGTAAAGTCTTTGGAGAACTGCAGCGATAAAATGACCCAAAGTAGGCTGGGCATGGTGGTGCCCACCTGCAAATCCAGCACTCAGGAGGATGAGGCAGGACTGCTGCAAGTTTGAGGCCAGCCTAGGCTACATAGTGAATTCAGGGCCAGGCTGAACTACATAGTGAGACCCTGTCTCAAAGAAAAAGATGACCCAAAGTGAACTTTCCAGGGCTGGGCTACACCTTATGGATGTGATTCTAAACAGGGCTTAGGAAGAAACTGAGATAAAGGGAACAAACTAAAACACAGGGGAACTTAGGTGGTCTGATGGCTACTGCAGCTCACACCTGGGCTGGGGAAGGGAGGCGTCATTCCTTCCTTGCCATTTGTGCAGTTTCATCCAGTCTGGCTTCCTTATCCCCTGGTTTCAAGCTACTGCCTCCCAGAGTCAGATCCCTGCATACCTTCTACTTATCCTTTTATGACTGGCATTTATGCACATTGCTAGTTTCTCCCCCTGAAACCTTTCTCCTATAAAATACACTGGGCAGTGGTTCATGTCTGTAATCCTAGAACTCTGAGAGGCTGAGGCAGGAGAATCTCAAGTGTGAGCCTAGTCTGGGCAACTTGACAATTTAGTGAGACCTTGTCTCAAAAAATAAAAAAAAGGGCTGGAGCTGGAAGCTTAGCATGAAGGCTCTGGGTTCAATCCTCAGTACTGCACAACAAAACGAATCAACAAACCAATAAAATTTATTTTAATAACATATTTTATGTAGCACAATGTATCCAAATTATCATTTAACATGTAATTAATATAATAAAGTTATTAATGAAGTAGTCTACACTTGGGGAGGAGTAAATCTTTGGAATTCAATGTATACTTTATAGTTCCAACTTATTTCACTCGAGACTGGCCACACTGCCAGTGCTCAGTAGCCACATGTGGCTATTGGCTATTATACTGGACAGCACATCTCTAGTTTGTCAGCATTTAGGGAATAAATACATGAATTAAAGAGTAAGTAAGTGGGGGGCTGGGGATTTAGCTCAGCGGCAAAGCGCTTGCCTGGCAAGCGCAAGGTCGTGAGTTCGGTTCCCGGTACCGGAAAAAAACCAAAAAACAAAACAAAACAAAGAGTAAGTAAGTGGGCCAGGCACTAAGATGGCAGAGTGGTAAGCAGCAGAGAAAGAGCCTCTCTGAGAGTCACCATCTAGACACTGGATATAGCAATGTGAGGAAGATAAGAAGGAGGGAAGTGGGTCCCCTGGACCCAGGAAAGATCTGAGGGATGAAGCCCACTGAGATAGTGAAGAGAGAAACTTCCAACAAAGAGGAAGGAGCTAGCCAGTGGCACCTTCTCTCTGACATGGAACTTGCTGCACAAGAGTGAGGACACAGGGTGACTGCTAGCAACCCCATAGGCCTCCACAGAGATGCAGAAGTGGAGGGGAGCAGTAGATGTGAAGGACCGCACTAGCTGGCAGTGAGTGCTGGAAGCTCAGTCATTGTGCACAAGAGAGCTATTGGCCTGGAGCCAGCCTGAAGAGGGGCCAGCTGAGCTCAGAACTCAGAGTGGCTGCTGGCTCCATCTAGCAGCATCTAGCTGGGCTCAGCACCAAGGAGGGTATGATGATGGCTGCAGGTCAAATAAGTCTGGTCTCAGCCAGAAGGTGCAGGCTCACTGAAATTATCCATTATCCTGCCAAAAAGCTACTGTTGGCTTGCTGGGATAAATCAACATGGATCAGGACTTTGTTTCCACATGTTGTCTACCAGTGACAGCAGAGACAAACCTGGAAGTGGACTTTTTTTCCTTTCTCTCTCTTACTTGTTTTTTGTTGTGGTTCTGTTTTTGTTTTTTCTCTCCTTTATTGTTTGAACTTATTTTTATATGAGTGTGAGTGTGGTTTCTAGCCTCTTTGTGGTTGTTGTTCTGTTCCATTCTTTTTATCTCTTCCTTCTCTCTTTCCTTCCGGTCTTCTGTACCAGTTTCCCAAAGTTAGCATGATCCTCTTTTGTCCTCCAGCCTTACTTCTAATCTCTTCTTCTTCTTCTGCCTATTTTTTCCATAACCCCTTTTAAATTTTAACCCCTGATGATAAAATTGACACATTAAGGACTTATATACTGCATATAATTTTTGAATCTATTTTAGATTTTGTTATATAACTAGAAATCTAGTTCATATAGTGAAAGGTGGCAAATTAATGGTTACCTCAGTTTGTCATTTTCTACACTGTGATTGATGCTACTGTTATTACCAGTGGTATGCTCCACTTTAGCCAAAAGTGACATAATTGTTGTAAACAGCTATTCTTCCTAATATTCCAAGACTGAGATTGACAAAGGATGATAGAAAATATTGTGGCACAGTGCCAAAGAACCAGGGGCTGGGCCAAACTGGCAGCAACTTCTCACCCCCAACACACTGAAGAGGTAGGATCTTGCAACAGACTCAAAACCCAAAAACCAGTTACACCTGGAAGATACCTCAGAGAAGTAGTCATTTCCTAAGGGCTCTAATTATTAGCAATAAAACAACCCACCATAGGCAATTTACAAGCATCACCCCAGGAATTAAACTACAAAAGGAAAAGAAAATGAGAAGACACTTAAATAAGATGCAACCCTAGACTTCCAGTTTACCAAAGGCAAACCCAGAGGGCAATGAGGTGGGACAGTTCAAAAGCCACCCACCTGGCCTCTCTGAAGTCATAACAACAAAGCAATTGAATGAGGCTCTAGAAAGAAATCAAATCAGAAATAATTTCTCAGAGATGGTGTACACAATGAAAACCATGCTTAGTGACTATACAGACAAAAAAAAAATAGAGGACTTAAGAAAATCATGGAAGCCATGAATGCTCAGCACAGTAAAGAAATGGAATCCATAAGGCAGATTCAAGCAGATATCTGGGAGAATAAAAATCCCACTGAAAGTATCCACAGATTAAGCCAATGTGAGGACAGGATCTCAGATACAGAAGATAGCCTTGCAGTTAGCAACCACGAAAAGAAAGATTTCTTAAAAATAGAAAGGTCGCATGAGGAATCAATACAGTAGTTGCTAGATGAGGCAAAGAAGGATAACTTAAGATTGATTGGAGTTGATGAAAAAGTAGGAGATAGCACAAATGATATAAAAATTCTGTTCACAGACATCATGGCAGAAAACTTCCCGGTAGGGAAAAAGAATTTGACATACAAATAAGTGAGGCATATAGAACTCCCATTAGCCATGATAAAAAAACCTAGAGCCAGGCATATCATAATCAAGATTCCAGAACTTCAACACAAGAATGGAATCTTAAAAGCTGTAGGGAAAAGAAACAAATCACCTGTAAAGGAAAGCCCATTCTCAGCATAAACTCTCAAGTCAAGGAGAGCTTGGAGCGAAGTGTTTCCAGTTCTAAAGGAAAACAACCTTCAACTGAGATTGATGTACCCTGCAAAACTATGTTTCAAAACTGATGGAGAAATAAGATATTTTCATGACAAAGAACATCTGAGGATATTTATGACCACCAAACCAGCACTTTAAAAAGTTTTGAAGAACATTTTAGAAAGAGATAACAAGGACTAAAACTCCATGAACTCTAACCAAAGGAATCTAGCAGGCAAGGCAAAGAATTAAACAGGAGAGGAAAAAAGGGGGGAGCCAACAACAGAAAAATAACACAACAAGGATAAGTCAATACATATCAATTATAATCATCAATGTTAATGGTCTCAATCCACCAATCAAAAGACACAGATTGGCAGACTGGATCAAGAAGCAAGAGCCAACAATATGCTGCATACAAGAAACACATGTAATTAAAAAAGAAATTCATAGACTGAAAGTCAAAGCATGGAATACACCATGCAACAGGAACCCAGATAAAAGTGGAGGTAGATATTCTATTTGCAGACAAAGTGGATTTCCAGCCAAGACTGATTAAGAGAGACAAAGAAGGTCAGTACATCCTTGTAAAGGGAACAATCCAAGGGGAAGAGATAACAATCATAAATATATATGCCATAAATACCAGTGCACCCAACTATATAAAACAAATATTAATAGACATGAAAAATCAAATAAGCACTAATACAATTGTATTGGGGGATCTAAATACCACACTGTCACAAAGACAGATCAATTAGACAAAGAAATCAATAAGGAAATATTAGAACTGAAACAAACTTTTGAACAAATGGACTTAGTAGATGTCTACAGAGTATCCCACCCCACAACATCAGAATACATATTCTTCTCAGCAGCACACGAGATGTTCTCTAAAATAGACCACATACTAGCTCACTGAACATGCTTAAGTAAATGCAAAGGAATTAAAATTATCTGATGTATATTATCAGACCATAGTACAATGAAACTGGAAATCAATGGGAAACGCAACCACAAGAACTTCATAAACACATGGAAATTAAATAGCACTCTCCTGAACAAACAATGGGTTACAGATGAAATTAAAAAAGAAATGAGATAATTTCTACAATTAAATGATAATGACAGGGCTAGGGATGTGTCTCAGTGATACAGTTCTTGTCTTGCATGCACACCAAAAAAAAAAAAAAAGAAATGATAATGACAATACAACATACTGGAACTTATGGGACATAAGAAGTAAGCCCTAAGAAGAAAATTTATAGCAGTGAATACCCATGTCAGAAAAACAGAGCAAATGGAAATAAACAACTTACTGGTGAAACTCAACCTTCTAGAAAAAGAAGAGCAGGCTAAGCCAGAAGTTCCTATGAAGGAGGAAATTACAAAAATGGGAGCAGAAATCAACACACTGAAGACTAAGAAAAAGATACAAAAAGTCAATGAATCAAAGAGTTGGTTCTTTGAAAGTTTAAATAAAATTGACAAACCCTTATCCAACCTTATCAAAGAAAAGGGAAGAAAAGACTCAAATCCATGAAATTATGAATGAAAAGGGTGAAATTACAACGAACCTTGCAGAAATCCAGAACATCATCTCTACTTGCTTTGAAAACTTGTATTCTAATAAGATGGAAAATGCAGAAGAAATGGACAGATTCCTAGATACATATGAATTATAAAAGCTGAAGCAAAAAGATATAAAAATCCTGAACAAATCAGTATCAATCAATGAAACTGAAGATATAATTAAAAACCTACCAACAAAGAAAAGCCCAGGCCCTGATGGATTCACTGCTGAATTCTATGAGAAGTTTGGAGAAGACCAAACACAATTACTTCTTAAATTCTTTAATGAAATTGAAAGGGAAGTAATACTCCCAAATTAATTCCTGGAAGTCACCATTAACCTGATACCAAAACCAAAGGATCCAACTAAGAAACAGAACTATCAGCCAATCTCCCTAATGAACACAGATGCAAAAATCCTCAATAAGATACTGGCAAACACAATGCAGCAAATCATCAAGAAAATTATACATGATAACCAGTGGGATTCATCCCAGGGATGCAGAGATGGTTTAACATACATAGATCAATAGATGTAATACACCATGTTAACAGAGCCAAGGACAAAAATCATATGATCATCTGAATAGATGCAGAAAAAGCTTTTGACAAAGACTAGCACTCATGCATGATAAAAACTACAAAAATTGGAATAGATGGCCTTTATCTCAATCTGATAAGAGCTATCTATGACAAACCAACAGCCAATATCACACTAAATGGACAAAAACTGAAAGCTTTCAGTCTAAAATCAGAAACAAGACAAGGATGTCCATTGTCTCCACTCTTATTCAACATGGTCTTAGAAAACTTAGCCAGAGCAATTACACAAAAGAAAGAAATAAAAGGGGTAAGGATGGGAAAGGAAGAAATAAAATTATCACTATTTGCAGATGACATGATACTCTATATAGAAAACCCCCAAAACTTCACTAAAAACTGCTAGATTTATTTTATTTATTTATTTTTTTGGTACGGGCAATCAAACTCAGATCCTTATACTTGCCAGGCAGGTGCTGTGCCACTGAGCTATCTCCCTGGCCAAAAAGTGCTAGATTTGTTAAGTAAATTCAGTAGCGCAGCTGGATACAAAGTCAACATTCAAAAATCAGTTGCCTTCCTATACACGAACAACAAACTCACTGAAAGAGAAACGAGGGAAACAACACTTTTCAGAATAGCATCCAAAAAAATGAAATACCTAGGAATCAATCTAATGAAGGATGTAAAAGACCTCTGCCTTGAAAGCTACAGTACTCTGAAAAAGGAGATTGAAAAGGATATCAGAAAATGGAAAGATATCCCTTAATGGCCACGCTTCCAAAACTATTAATTAGATTTAAAGCAATTCTGATAAAAATTCCCATAGAATATCTCACAGAATTAGAGAAAACAATCCTAAAATTCATTTGGAACCAGAAGAGACCTAGAATAGCAAAGGCAATTCTGGGCAACCAAGACAAGGCAGGGGGCATCACAATTCCTGACTTGAAATTATCCTATAAAGCTTCTGGGATAAAAATGGCATGGTACTGGCAAAAAAACAAACCTAAAGATCAATGGAACAGAATAGAAGATGCAGAAACAACTCCAGACATACTTAGCTACCTTATCTTTGCCAAAGCTGCCAAACATGTTCACTGGAAGAAAGGTAAGCTCTTTAAGAAATGTTGCTGGAAAAACTAGCTCTGCACATTGTGAAGATTAAAATTGGGCCCATGTCTTTCACCATACATTAAACGAAATTCAGAATGGATGAATGATTTAAATACTAGAGCAGAATCATTAAATCTACTGGAAGATAGAATAGGTAAAACTCTTGAAGACATTGGTGTAGGCAAAGACTTTATGAATAAAATCCCAATCTCACAGGAATCATCACAAGGATCAATAACTGCGATCTTGTCTTATTAAACAGCTTTCGTACAGCAAGAGAAATCACCAACACAGTGAAGAGACAACCCACTATGTGGGAAAAATGTTTGTTAACTGTTCCTCAGACAAAGGATTACTATCAAGAACATATAAACAACTCAAAAAAATCAGACTTCCCAAATTTAAAGATGCAATCCAAAAATGGGTATCTGAGATGAATACACACTTCTCAGATGAAGAAATACAAACAGTAAAAAATATATGAAAAACAAGTTCAACATCAGCGGTCATTCGAGAAATGCAAATTAAAACAACACTGAGAGTCCATCTTATCCTCGAAAGAATAGTTATTATAAAAAAATCAACCAATAACAATGCTGGAGAGGTTATGGGGAAAAATGAACCCTTCTCCGCTGTTGGTGGGAGTGTAGACTAGTGCAACCACTATGCAAATCAGTGTGGAGAGTCCTCAAAAAACTAGCATTGGAGGACCCATTTGACCCAACTATTCCCCTTCTGGGTATCTTCCCAAAATTTAAAACATCACACCACAGTGATATATGTGCACCCATGTTTATAGCAACATAATTTGTAATAGCTAGGTCTTGGAAACAATACAAATGTCCATCAAATGAGGAATGGATAAAAAAGATGAGGTCCTTTTATACAATGGAGTGCTACTCAGGCATAAACAAAGATATATTGGAGACTTTTAAAGGTAAATGGATGCAATTCAAGACCATACTCATAAGTGAAATAAACCAGATGCACATGTACAAACATCGTACTATCTCCTAATGTGAGAAGCTGAAAGAGAAAATAAGATCCAAAATGTACAACAGATAATGTCAGATTGGAAGAAAGTGTTCAAAAGGAAAGAGAAACTGGGATGGGAGAAAAGAGAAAAGAAGGAACTGAAAAGAAAAAAAAATATATACATACATTATAGTTAAGATAGTTATACTACTAATTACATTGAAAAGAAAGGTTTGTGCTAATATTGTTTGGACAACTAACTGCCTATATCTTGGACTCTGAGTAACTAATTTAAAGATAACAATATGCAATGTATTAACCACTGTTACCTTCCTATTACCTTGTTTTGAATTTTTCTTCTCTTTAAAATAAAAAAAAGAGTAAATAAGTGAATGAACATAAATCTTATGCCTGGTCCTTCATTCTTCCTTACTAGAAAAGGAAAAAAAACTATCTTTAAAAAAACAATTGGGAGAAATTGCTGTCCCAGTGTTGTCTCCTCTCTAGAATAATTCTGATCCTTGACAAAGTTGCTTGGGGCTAAAGGGAGATGAAAGCCATGGGTTCTGACATACAGGGCTACCTGAGCACGGTCAATTCTCCTAAGTGGCTCATACTCTGAAAGAGTAAGGAAGTAGGAGAGAAGGAAAAATTTCTAATTCAGTTGTCCAGATTAGAACCTGGAAAAGTCAAGTAAGTCTTGGGAGAATATTAGATGAAAGTATAATTAAATGACTTCTGTATTTTGGTTTGCTTTCCAGGATAAAGTCTAATTAAGTTGATTTGCTTTTCTTTTAGCAATCGTCAAAAATAATCCTACATTTGTAATGCTTCATACTACATTCTTTTACTACAAGCACATCTTCCACCTGAAGAAGATTCAGAACAGTCTGTCTCGTCTTAACAAGTGATATATATCTTTTTCTTTAAAAGGAAAAACTTCCAGGCATGGTGGCACATGCCTGTAATCCTAGCACTTGGGTGGTTGAAGGAGGAAGACTGCTGTGAGTCTGACACCAGCCTGGGCTACATAGTGAGTTTTAGGTCAGCCTGACTTACATAGTGAGACCTTGTCTCAAAAAAAAGAAAAAAACAAGTAAAAGGAAAAGCTATGAAACTCATCCATCTCATTTTTGTATGACATTAGGTTAATTCTAGCAGCTTTTCTCAGTCTGGTATCACCCTATGTAAGTATAAGAAATATGTAGGAACTTCTGTATTTGGTTAACTCCAGTTCTAATATAAAATCATATTCCTTCATGTTAATGAGGGCATGCATTCACTTATACAAACTATTAAGACAGAAAGTACTGTATACTGGCCAAGGAGCCCTAAGGATGAATACAGTATAGCTTTTTGTATTTATATTTTCCAAATAAATATGTATTCTGATGAAACCTGAATAAACTATAAAGGCCCCTACTTACTCCTCCAATGATTATCAGTGTTGTAGTTTCTGGCATCAGTGCCAACACAGATACGATGATCATGAATAACGTTGTTACCATCGAGTTGATAATATCCTAAAGACACAGAAAAGGAAGTCCGTTTTACATAAAGACCAACAATAGATGGGACTATAACTCAGTGGTATAGCACTTCTCTAGCATGCACAAGACCTTGAGTTTGATCCCTAGATACACCAAAAAATAAAAAAGCCCCCCCTAAACAATGCAAGAAAACACAAAACAAAGTCAGCTCCCTATAGCTTTTTTTTTTTTTTTTTGCTGCATTAAGGATTGTACCCAGGGCCTTGTGAATACTAGACAAGCACTCTACCTGAGCCAAATCCCCAGCCCTCCCTAAAGGTTCATTTTATTAAATAAATTATTCAGGAAACCCAAATGCCACAGTAAAATGACACATAATGTTTGGTCTCCACTGACACCTAGTGGTTCCCGTTACTTATAATACACCAATCATTTAACTGCTTCAGCATTTATTTTTTACATAACATAAATATAGGTGGAGTGAGTATTTATCTGGTTAGTAAAGAAAGTAAATGATGCATCTGCCTATGTAGAAGATTTAGGGTGCAGTGGATACCCTGGGAAGTCAGAATGCCCAATTTTAATAATGTATAAGAAAATGTATGAAATAACTTTATGTTTCTTAAATGCAAAAAAACTGAAAACAGTGTACACTTAAGACAAAATGGTAATTTCTAAGATGATCTCAGACATTGTCTATACACAGAAGCTGGCCAGTTATGTTATTTCCGGTTATACAGCTCATTCAATAATTCTCCAGAATGAAGCATTTTAGTCTCAACCATGGCTTTAACAAATTTAGTTTAACAATTTAGTTGCACATGGTGGTGTACACCTGTAATCCCATGAGAGGCTGAAGAAGGAGAATCTCAAGTTCATACCATCCTAGACCGCTTAGTGAGATCCTGTATCAAAATATATTAAAACAGGGCTGGCCATATAGCTCAATGGTAGAGCTCTTGCTTAGTGTGTGTGAGGCCTAGGATTCAATCTCTAGTACTTAAATGAAAAGAAAGTTCAGTTTATGTTGTTGTATGAATGTGTACTGTGGGAAGGTAAATTGTCTCTATTCTAAGACAAGTTGGCTTATGTATATTTGCAGGTAAGAAGGCAGGAAGGAATTGATACAGAAATACTAATGTTTAAACTTTGATAACTTAGAAAAGTAGTTATTAAAAAGAAAGTAGAAAGAGGTTCAATGTAGACAAGACAAGGTTAGATATACTTAGAAGAAAAAAGCTCATCTGCAGGAGATAGTAAGACCAGCTCTCCTAGGATAACTCTTCTCCATGCTATGTTGCTCTGCTTCAAGGCAACAGACCACAGCACCCCTTCAGCGAGGAGGCCCTGCCCCCAGTGAACAACATGAGCTATTAATGACTTTGGAAAGAGGTGGTATTCTAGGCAGTGTAGAGAACCATGATGCATCTGCCTAATGATGTCATTTAAAACATTACTTTTATACTCAAAACTAAACATCGACATGCCATGTAGTAGAATGTACATTTAATAACAAAGTGGAGATTTTCCAGTAATTTTGAGTCTCACAGGCTTGGGTTGGCTCACTTTGTGTTTTCTGTCAAGGAGCACTTGAAGGAAACCAAGAAGGTCTGCTCTAAAGATTGTGTCAAGGACTACAACTTTGGGACAATAACACAAATAACAAATCTAAGCGCAGATGACAGGTCTAATCGGTGAAGACAGTGGCCTTCAGACAAAGACTTTTCTCCCACCTACAGATGAACTTGGACTCTTCAGTCACCACTGTCCTTCGCTTGAGTCACAGTAAAAGCGCCCCGGCCAACTTCTTCGGCTGGCTCCCATTCCATTCTGCAGGATCTTTCTGTCCATTACTTTTCTCCCATCAGCCTTTGAGTTAACGCCCTGGGCCCACAAGTCCTTGCGTGCTTTCACCCCCTACTGCCTCACATCTTTACTCTTGCCCCCTTTCTTTTCACCTCACATACCCCAGCCATTCAGATCTACCTGCCATTCTTGGAGGGTCATGCTCTTTCCCCACCCAGACTCACAGATGCTACTTCTATGGAGAAAGCCTCTTTTAGTAGTCAGTTGCTAACTATTTTTCTGCCTTCAGCCTTTGGCTCAAGCAGTTTTACTTCACAAGCCTACTATCATTTTTGTCTCTTTTCTGGCTAGGCGCTTCCATGCCATCCTGGGTATAATCTTATAAGCACCTAGTCACTGAATTCTTCTATTTCTTGCTATAGTGAAAGTTTTTCAGGCACAAAAGATTTGCATTTTGTCTTATCAAAGAACAGATTACAAAATCTGGGACTAGCAGATACTTAAAATTTGAACAATTTCATTACAGCAAGATCAGAAAAGACTACGGCACTTGTAACAGAGCATCAACTTAATTTTTCAAGCACTGCTTCTAAGAGATTATAATATTGGCAAAGGTTGATGCCCAGAGATTGAAGACTACCCCTTTCTGTATGCTACATAGGCTACGGAAAGTACTCTGTTGAATGTGGAGTTCCAATTTTATTACTACATCACATAAGAAGTTCCAGAGAATGATTACAGTTTAGAGAAAAAAGCTAAAATATATTCAGGGATGCACAAACATGAACTATATACTTTTCTGAGTAAATGATCAAGAGAATGTGGATGAGTGTTCATTATCTGACAAAATCCTTAATCTAGCTTAGCCCTTTCTGCCACTAAGTGAGGGCCAGCTGAAGGAAGCCTTGTAATCTCTTTCCCTAGACCTCCTCCAATCAGGTCCAAGTCTGAAGTACAGATCTTGCAGGAATTTTGAGAGGTGCTATGAAGATCCTATTTCCCAGCTTTGCCCTTTTAGATCTTTTTAAGCTTGTGCTTAGCCTGAAATGCTCATCACTGGTCTCCAAAGAGAATCCCAGAAGGTCTCCCTTTGAGGCATGCTTATAGTTTGAGCAGCTCTAGAGTCTTTTCTTCTTGATAGGAATTACCAGGTTGGATATACGCACTCTGGAATCCAAAAGCATAAGACAAGGAGAACAGAGGAAAGCATGGCAGTAACCACTCCAGCAAAAGAGCAGAAGGTCAGCCGGGTGATGGAGGAGGGAGACTTATGGAGGTAGGAGCTGGGCTGAGACTTGAAAGAGGGGAGAAAGGTGAAGTCAAGCAGTGCTTGCTACAGCTAGCCTCTAGTCTAGGCAGGGCCACACACACCTTAACTAATATCTTCAAACTTCCCATTCTGACAGTTTCCTGAGCTATTTAGATACTCAACTGGGCAGTTATTTCTAACGTTAGGTCAGGATGAAGTCTATATGGCACAAAATAAGATTCAGTAAGATAAATCATTCAGCATTAATATGTTAGACATTTTCAAGTGAGATAACACTGTAATTTAGCTTCCTCAATTTGTTTCATTTTCCATTAGAGATCAGGGATGTGCAAAGATAAGACACTTGTATACCTGCCTCCATCTTTATTCCCCAATTCTGAGGCTATTTCCACATGCATTTAAAAAGGATGTAAGATTAAGATGTTCTATAATTTTATTAATGTGATCCTACAATTAAAATTTATTTAGAAAATCTAAAAGTAAATAACAGAAAGATCAGCCACATCTACTGGCATGGAAAGGAAAATTCATGTTCTACGGCTGCCCTGGGACCCTGAGATTCCCCCAGAGACAATACAGAGTTCCTCCTTCTTAAGCCTACGGATAGCTACCTTAAAGGTTTAAGAGAACTAAAGGATAGAGTTAATAAATGTCTCACTATGAGAGGAAAGAGTAGTTAAATCTTAGAATGAAACTGAACACTTACAAGCAAAGGCCAAAAGAACCATTTCATCAATCGATCAAGTCTGAGAATATATAAAATTATGAAAAAGGAAATAACGGTGGCTTCAAATCCAGTGATAACAATGTATGGTTCAGGGGCTTGCGCAATAATAAAAAAGATCATAGATGTCACAGTTAGTGCCTGGAAGGAAAAAAGAGAAAACAGGATTATGAATACATGTTTGAGCTGTAAAAATCACTTTAAAATAACTAAGCAGGCTTCTGCCATATACATACACATCAGAGAAGCATGACTAACATGTATGGGTACTGACTTCTCTTTGTGTTTTAGAGGACTAAGTGTCCTTCTCAGTGTTAAGAGTAACTACCCCACTTGCTCTTCTGATACTATCATCTAACATCTGTTCTCTTCATTTTTTTCTGACCAAGTATCTTCCTCCACATACTTTTACTTCATCCTCCTCTGCTAGCTCCTTTCTTCTTCATACTATCAACATATGTCAGTTGTCTTGTCTTAAAACACACACACACACACACACCCTTTGCTTTCTATGCTGCTTCCCCATAAAGTCTTTTCTTCTTAATAGGAATTACCAGGTTGGATATACGCACTCTGGAATCCAAAATCCATAAAGTGTATTCTTGTTCTGCTTTTCAAAACAGTTTGTATATACTGGCCATCTACAATGCTTTATTATCCACTCACCATTCTTTACCTCTTGGCAATCTGGAATCACTGTCAAAGTTGAGTGTTTCTATGAAAAATACCAAAGGGGATCCATGTATGGTGGTGCACGCCTGTAATCCCAGCACTTAGAGACTAAGACAGAAGGACTGTCAAGAGTTCAAAGCCAGCTTGGGCTATGTAGTAAATTCAAGGCCAGTCTGAACTCTTTAGCAAGATCCTTTCTCAAAAGCAAACAGGAAGGAAGGAAGGAAAAAAGGAGGGAAGGAAAGGGAAAGAGAAATACCAAGGGTGGGTTTTAAAACACATGGTCAGAGAAAAGTCTGATGTTTAACAGCTTTATTACTAACTTTTACTACAAAAAATACAATGCACTAAGATATACAAACTAAAATATCAAAACTAAGATATTTTAAGAGAAGAACAAATCCTTAAGTAAGCTAATCCAATTTCTTCATTTCCAAAGGAAGACAAAATATGGCAATGTTAAGTGAGTTGTTAAAGGAAAAACTAAGCAGGTGGGTCCCAAGTTTTGTTAATGCCATGTTTTTATTTTTATTGTTTTTTTAATGCCATGTTTTTAGGAAGTACATCTCTATCCAAAGTCTGTGTTTTTGGTAAGTGGTTTTGTCAAGAGTATTCCCTGGCTTAACTTTCATAATTCTCTGTTAGTTGGTACCACCCACATATTTGGGGGGCGGGTACTGGGAATTGAACTCATGACCTCGTGCTTGCTAGGCAGGTTCTGTGCTGTTGAGCTATATCCCTGACCCCAAAACACATTCTTTTTATACAAACTACTCATTCATAATTGTTTCAATTTTATCAGTATAAAAATATCCTACCTTTGAACCTCTAAACTGGTAATTTTGACTATGAATACCTCGTTACTAAATGACTCCATTTTTTATAATAACTATTAACAACATGTTATCTCACATGGTTCCATTTACTCCACTTGACTCACATCTTGAGTGCATAAATTATGAACTCAAGTCTCCCCTTTTCAGCCTCTAGCTTCTGTAACCTTTTTGCATCATGGTTATTGGCACTGGTGACTACTCCATTTTCTTAAAAATTCTCCTGGTTCTGTCACACTGAATTTTCCCTTGACTCATATTTACAGCTCCTGTAACTTTTCTAAGCTGTTGGCCTTATTTCTATGTCGCCTTTCCTAATTCTTATTTTTTGCTTATCCTGTGGGCTCCTCTCTTCACTACCTCAATTGCTGTTACTACAATCTGCCTTCTTATCCATGTTAGGAGCCTTAGTCCACTGCTTACCTCACCTCTCACAACTGAGGAATAATCACATCTTGCTGGCTTAATGCCTAAACATATTTGGCATTCCCTCATCTTCATCCCTACAACTACTGCTCATCAGCATCTTTCACTTAAACTATTGTGACAAAGATACTACTGTGAAATTACTAAAATGCAAATTTGTTATCTGATATTTAAAAATCCTCCAATAGCTCTCCATGGTCCTTAGAATAGAGCCACCCTCTCACCATATACTGAAAACTTATGATTCTAGCTTCTGTTTACTTTTCTAGCAAAGACTTGTCTCACAATTTGTCCACAACATAATTCTAATGTTTACTCATCTTACTCGAATTATCAGTATTTAACACAGTTGATCACTCCCTCAAAGAGTTTCTGCACTTAGTTTCAAGGACAAAATACTCTCCATTTCTCCTACTCCCCAAATCTTCCCTCTTTCTTCTCTGTACTTTATCTTCTCCCTGCCCTCTAACTTTTGAAGTGTTCCAGGGCTCAATCCACAGTCCTCTATCTGTACTTCTCTCTTGATGACCTCATGAGTTGTGTGGCTTTAAATGCTACTATTTCTGAAGCCTGATGTCTCTACCAAATCCAATCTTGTTTATCCCAATTTCTAATTCACTACTGCCGCTTGGGTGTCTAACAGGTACCCTGGACCTAACAATGAAATCCAAAATTGAACTTCTAGTCCTCCCCTTAAATTTGCTTTGCTTATAGCCTTTCCAATCTCAGGGGATAGCATTTTCATCGGCCAGACCAAACACGTTGGCATTATGTGTACTGGACTTCTCTCTCCTACTCCACGTCTGGCTCATCAGCAAATCTTGTGGGGCATACTTTCAAATGCAGCTTGAGCATCCCTAGTTTGAAAATCTGAAATGCTCCAAACTCCAAAAATTTTCAATGCTGACAACTAGAAAATTCCGTATCTGACTTTTGATTGTTCAGTGTCCACAAATTTGTTTCAAGCCCCAAAGTATTAAAAATATTGTAGAAAACTACTTTTAGCATATGTGTGTAAGGTACTTACATATGAAACGTAAATGATGGATTTGGGTCTTACCCCTAAGGTAGCTCATTATGTACCTGCAAATATTCCAAAATTCTAAACACTTTTTGTCCCAAGCATTCTAGATAAGGGATACACAAGCTGTACAGCTGTTTCTCAGAATCACAGACTTTGGGTGCAGGAATGATCTTACATGCAATTTGTTCTCACCCACCTGAGGTTTGAATCTCCTTTCTAACATCCTCACCAAATGCTCATCTGTGCTTGTTACTTCTGTTACCTGACACTGCAATCCCCTCCCAAGGGACCATTTAATTTTGGGACCCTTCCCAATATAAAATTCTTCCTCATATTATGTAAAAATATTTTCCTGTAACTTTTAACTACTTCAACTGCCTCTTTCATATGTCAGCTCTTGAAAAATTGAGTTTATTTTCTTCTTCCCCTTGAATTTTCTTGAATTCCCTCAACTGCGATAATTTTCAATTCTCTAATTAGCGAAGTCTCTCCCCCAGATGATGACTCACTCCCACTCACCCCCAAACCTCTGTTTTCAGCACTGACAGTAGTGTTCCTGCTAAGCCTGAAGTCTTAAACGGAAGCCATGTCGTTCTTTCTTGCCCTTGCTCTGGCCTTATCTTACTTTATCCGTGAGCTTGGGCAGAGGAAATGTCTGATTTATAGAAAGTAACCATATCACCCACCAAAACTAAGAGTTTTCTTTTTTCTTTTTCTTTTTTTTAATCTTGTTAGCTTCTCAGTGGTACAACTGAAACTGCCTGGCCTCCTAATGTGGACACCAGGCCTTGCAGGCCATTCAGGTAAATCTGTGGATTTTGTTTAATAAATGGGTCCCTACATTGACAGGAGAGGAGGAAAGGGCCCTATGGCTCTTCTGCTTCCCCAGGGGCCCAAAGGAAAGGCCCTGCCTCAGGGGAGACCGACCCTGCAACTTCGGCAAGCTGAGGCACGTCCAGGCGAGAGGACTGCGGAGGCCACCCTGGGCCATACGCAGCAGCACGTTCCAGGACAGTGTGGACTGCGTAGGGCGATCACGGCTCAAACAAGTTAAAAAAAAAAAAAAATTCAAAACCTCTCCACCCACAACAAAAGTCGCCGTTGCCAGAACAAAGGGCCGCTCCCGCCCAGACTTCAGGGCCAGGTCTTTGCCCTTCGGCAGTTCGCCCCCGCACCCCGTCCCCAGCACCCCAGCCCTCACCAGCCGCAGCATCTTTACAGGGCCTTTCACGCTGAAGCAGAAGGGGCGAAGGTGTAGTTTCGGCTTCGACTCAGTCTCCATCTCGCCCGGCAGACCCAACAGCCACACCTCTGCTTTCAACCCTTCTCGGCGCCCCGCCCGCCTGGCCTCGCTCAACAGCCCGGACCGCAGAAGCGGTAGTCCGCAGCCTTCGGGACTTGCCGCCCTCGCGCGCGCAAGCGCCCCGTTCCGCGGCCCGTCCTCGTGCGCATGCGCAACGCAGGAGGCCCGCCTCCCGCCCGGTGCTGGGTCGCTTCGCCCACAGCGCAAAAGCTTAGTTAGCCAGACTGGGCACTCGTTGGTCTTGCAACTTTTAGCCCGTCCCTCCCCACCTAGTTCTAAAATTACAGAGCTACAGCTTTCTGGTCCTGAAGCGATTGCAAGGTTGGAGCAGGGGAGGGAGACAAGCAAGGGAGAGAGGCAGAGGGGAAAAAGGAAATTCCCTCTGCGGAATTTGTCTTGGTGACCCTGTCCAGAGTAGCCACCATCACTGTCCTCAGCATTTCTCTCTAGATCATAAGAATGTCACTTCCATAGGGAAAGTTTGATTAACAGGTACTAAGTTATAGTTAAGAGAAAGATCTGGTGTTCTGTTGCACACTGTGGTGATTAGAGAATGATAACGTACTGTTTTATTTAGAAATTAAAAACTAGAAGACAACCTCTTCTCCAAGCACTCTAGGAGGCTGAGGCAAGACTATGGCAAAATAGAGTCCAGCCCAGGAAATTTAGCAATTTAGTGAGACCATGTCTAAAAATAAAAGGGTGAAGGGCCTGGGGGACTAGCTCAGCGCAAAGGTGCTGGGTTCAATCTCCAAGACTGCAGACAAAACAAAACAAAACCCTAGAAGAAAAGATTTTGAATACTTTCTACCACAGAGAAGTGATAATTGCTTCATGGGGTAATTAACCCTAATTCGAACATTATATAATGTATACGTGTATTGAAACACAAAACTGCAAATACTATGTACTGTTTTATGTAACAGCTACAAAAAAGGGAATAAAATTCTGCAAAAGCAAGGACTAATTTGTTTCTTTCCCTGAAAGGTCCCCAGGGTCTTGTGACCTGTAGTTGCAGAGTATGTGTAGCCTGGGCTTGGGTCAACCTAAGCATGGTTTTACTTTGCCTCCCTCTGGTGTTAGTTTTTCCATAGGTAGAAGTTTCTTCAGATTCTTCAATTCAGTTCGTGTTTTTCATAAGTTCTGCAATGATGCAGAGCCATACCATCTTGGAGGGTTTCTTCTTAGGAATATGAAGTATGTATCACTCCTTTTATGTGAATCAAGTTCTGCCTTGGATAATTTGACCATCACTCTAGTCCATTTGGACCTCTTTGCATCCTGTCCATCACGGTTCATTTCATTCCACCTAATCTGTTCAGCAATTACCTTCAACAGCCTTATCCCAGGCCACCCACAAAAAAGTTCACCTTGAAGTTTATTTAATACAGAGAATACATTTGCCCTTGCTAGGTGTGTGGCAATTAGGCAGGTAGGCACAAGATGGAGGGGTGGCTTTCAGGTGACAGATCTAGAAGCTAATATTATAGGCAGCTAAGTTAGATAGAAATTATCATACAGTTGAAAAGGGATTGGGTTCTCAATAAAGTCAGTGAAAGATGAATTGTGCCCGGAGGCATATCTGAAAAAGGCAAGACTTGCATACTTCCTTAAGGGATGAATAGAAATTTGAGATTATATATTATAATTGGTACCACCCAGTTCTTCAAGCCCAGAGAGAGATCAGTCATCCAGGTACGTGACCAGAGCATCCTGATCCATTCCTTTTCAAAAATGCTTTTGTTCTTTACATGTAGCCTTGCTATGTGACTTGCTTCCCTAGGATGAATATTAGCTAAGTGACTGTACTTGTAATCTTATTAGTTGATTATAGTTTGACTTACATTGTATCCACATTTGTAACTTTGCTGTATAAATTGCCCCTGACAAAGGCCTTTGGTAGCAACACACTTTCAGTTCCCCTCCTGTCTCTCAGGAGCTGTCTCTCAATAAATCTTTCCTACTCTTAACCTACGCTACGCTGTTCCTTAGAGTTCATTCTTAGGTTTGAGAGGACACAAACTTGGTGTATCTGACATCTAGCAGACTGGGAGTTATATATTCTCCTATATCACTAAAACTGAAAATGACTTCCTTTTCCTTACCCCAAAGTGGCTGCTAGCATGTTGCATTCCTAAGAGAAGTGGGAAACTCCTTACTATGTAGGGGAACTCTCATATCCTTATTGGCCCTGGCCGGCTGACTTATAACACCCCCTTTGCCCTACACCTGAGATGAAAATTTGCTAATTGACAACTTACAGGTTTTCTCTGTATCCCCACTTGTCTGTCCAGGGGAATATTGGTTGTGCCTGCCTGAGGGAGCTAGAACATCTATAGAGTCCAGACCCTGGAAATGGCAAAATTCAGAGGGAAGAGCAGAAGGGCTGAGAAACAAGACAGAGGGGCTTGAACTCCCCCTCCACTCCCCACCCCAAGGCCATTTTGAGCAAACTGGTCAATTCTTCCAGGAGGAACTTGCAGCATGGGAGTGACAATTTCTACTTGTAGAGTGGTTTGGAGGGATCCTAGACATAATGCGTGGGCGTGTGCCCGCGGTGGCTGGGGTAGGCCGCTCAATCTGCAATAACTCAGGGACCAAGTCCCTAGGGTAAGTAGCCATCCATCGTTCAAGTCTTGCCGAGTCAGGGGTTACATTCTGCCGGGGGCCAGCGGCAAACCCTCCACCTCAGACACCTACCTTGGGAGAGGGTGAAAACGGACCAGGGCTCTTTAAGGGCCGCCCCAGCAGGGGCCAGGGAGGAGCCTGTGGCGGGGCGTGCGGACGCGCGGGGGAAGGAAGCGGGGGCTGCGCACCCGCCTCCCGGGCATGCTGCTGGGGTCGCTGCAGCGCTGGGCCTCCCGGATGCTTCGCCGCGTGGGGCAGGGGAGTCCCGGGAGCCCCGCCAGCCCCATCGCGGGCGCCGGGCCGCAGCCCAGCGCCTGGCTTCCGGGTAACTCGCTCTTTTGTTTCACCTCGTCCTCGTCTTCGCCCTCCCGGCCGCTGCTGCCCACCCCCCAGCCCCGGCCGGCGGGACCGCCTGATCCCGGAGCTCCGCCGGGGTGCCGCGGGACTTCTCCGGGGCTGCGGCGCGGGGCGGGGGCGCTCGCCCGCTGCAATCTGATCGCGAGCGTGTGGGGCCAGGGACCGAGGCCTGCCCCTCGCACCGGGCGGTGGAGAGGGACTCTAAAGAGCCGTAGGACCCACCAGACGGGCTGGGGCTGCTGTGGGCTTTTCGCCCGGCCCCTTTCCTGGCAGAGGGAACTGGGAGTTGCATTTTAACCAGCCTCCGGGGTCGCTGGTCCCAGCGGGTGGTGTCGCGAAGTGAGGCTCCTGGCGGCCTCTGGCCCTCGCTGGCAGTGAGAAGCCCCGCCCCCCAAAGAAGTGGACCAGGCAGTGGCGTTCTCTGGCGCCTCGGAGACACCTGTGAGTTGGGTGGGCGTTGCTGTTCTTCCTGGCCGGCGCAACAGCCTGGGACTCCTCCTTTCCCCTGCTTTTCTGGAAGGCTGAGGGCCGGGCGCTCTGCATGTCCACTGCGAAGATCCAGTGCATGGATAAAAGTATAACACACCAAGTGAAAAAGCCTGAGCACATTTCAAGGCCAGATTTACACACGTGACCCAGTTGCATGACATCACACATGGGTGGATGGAGTGCACTGTCTCTGCCCACCCACGGAGGGTCCCAAGAATGGAAAGCATTTTTAGGTACTGTTTTTGTGGCCTTTTAGCAAATTAGCACAGAGAGGAGTGAGTCTAAAAGTTGATTTCGTTTTCTTTTGTAGGTAAAGATAGAGAAAATGAAAAAGAGAAGAAATCAGTGGTAAGTCCCTCCTGTGTGCATTCTCCAGTGTAGGGTAATTTTTATTTTTTGAGGAGGAGAGTGAGGGAATATGTGCACAGAGTAAAATACAGAAATACAAGAGAGTCTTCATGGATAAGGATAAGTATCTGCTGGGTGCCATGACACACTTATGTAATCCCAGCAGCTAAGGAGGCTGAGGGAGGAAGATCGTACATGCAAACCAGGGCGATTCTCTAAGACCTCATCTCAGAAATCAGAAAAGGGCTGTGAGTGTAGCTCAGTGTGAAGACGCTGGGTTCAATCCTCTTTACCACCAAGAATTAAAAAAAAAAACAAAATATAAATCTGTCCCCATCCCAGGGCCTCAGACCCTGTCCGGAGGCTGCCTCTGTTACCAAGTTCTTGTTTGTCCTTTCCCAGAGTCTACATAGGTAGGAGCATACATGTATTCCTAGCCTGTAGGTAGATTTGGATTGCCAAAGCTTCAGAGTGATTGTAAAGGGACTGAAAAGTGCTCATCCTGTGTAGGGAAGGCTGGGGTAAGATGTGAGGGGAGTATGCTGGCCACTTCTTCCTGTTGTCCAGGGCTCAGGCTGGTGGGTGGGGGTGGGATCAGAGAGCATCCATGAGGGTCCACAGCTGGGAATCAGTCATGGAGGTGATTGGAGGTGCAGGCTCTGAGGTGCAGCTGTGATGTGAGGTTGGAAAGCAAAGGAAGTTCGTGCTGGACATGCCCATGGGAATGTCTCCTGGGTGTTTAAGTTGACAATACTTTGGTCACCATCAAGCCAGGGGCTAAATTTCTTAAGGAAGTGGAAAGTCTGTAACTGCTGAAGGAGTGGCTTGGTTGTGGTGGCACCCTCGGCCAGGCTTTGCAGAGGGTGGAAGGTGTGGGTAGCTCCTGGCATGCTCAAGGTGATGGAGAGCCTGGGAGGGAGTGACTTCATCGAGAGAGGACTAGTGATTGAAGTGCTTGAGATTGATGGAAATTTGATGAGATTAGAGGAGGGGATTAAGGTATGGCAGGGAAGACTGTAGAAAGGGAGAGGGATAGAAAGTTGGGTTGGATAGGAATTAGTGCATTATTGTAGTAAGTACTGAGCATTGATGTACCTTGGGCTTGTAGGTGCTTTGTAGGTGTGGTCTGACACCCCCCACCCCACTCGCTACAGTAGGACGTTAATAGGAGGTGTGTGGGAGATGTCCCTAACCATTCAATTCCTGTGAAGTCCTGTGTGGGAGGTCCTGGGAATCAGCTCCTGTCATTAGGGAATGAGATGGCAGTAAAGAGGACAGTGGTAGATCTAGAACAGTGGTGGGAGACTGAAGAGCAAGGCTGCACCCATAGGGGAGCCCTGAAAAGCCTTGATGCCTCCTGAGAGGTAGCAGAGAGTTGGAGGTGGGAGAGTTGGAACAGAGGGAACTGCGGGTATAGGTGTACGTCACAGAAGGAAAAGAACCTGCAGGCTTGGGCTTGTGGCCAGTATCTAGGTAGGCGATTGGGCTTGGGCAGGGTGTGACCATAGTGGGGATAGATTCTAACAGCCAGGACCACTGAAGGACTTTACACTCTGTCTTGGTTTTCTGCTGCTGTAATAGAATACCACTTGGGTAACCTGTAATGGACAGAAATTTATTTAGCTCGTGTTCTGGAAGCTGCGAAGTCCAAGATTAAGGGGACTGCATCTGGTGAGGACTTTTTTGCTGCATACAGTTTCCATGGTGGAAAAGAGGAAAAGAGTGAGAATAAGACAAGGAGAAAAATAAAGAGGGAACTCCAGTTCAGCCTTTCATCAGGAACCCCCTTTACAAAAATGGCATGAATCCATTCTTGAGGGCAGAGCCCTTATGACCTAATCACGCCTTGAAGGTCCTGCTTTTCAACAGTGTTGCTTTGGGGATTAAATTTTTAGCATATGAACTATGGGGACACATTGAAACCGCAGCACTTCCATACAAATATGATTTGGTTTGCTTCTCAGGGAGAGATGGTGGTAGACTGTGGTGGAGGGTCCTAGAAGTCAAGACCAGAGTTGGTGGGGCCAGCAGAGAGGCTGCTCCATCAAGGAGGAGTAGAGAACTTAGCTAATGGCTGGGAGATGGGCACAGGTTTTACCGATGGTGGAAGTAGGGCCCAGAGGAGTTGCTGGTTGATAGATGTTGCTGGGTGAGGAGAGATATCCAGGGTGTTGGAGGTGTTTGGCCAGTGTGTAGCCATCACACAAGACTGTTACAGTAACCAAAAATGGAGTAGCACATCACAATTTATAGAAAAACAGTTGGACAGAACATAGCATCCACAGTAGGGATTTAGTAAGTCATACCATAGCACGTGTTAAGCTTTTGGTCTAGAATGTCCCACCAAAAAATCTCATGTGTTCACAGGTGGGGCTTTTAGAAAGTGATTGGATCATGGGAACAGTGCACTCCTCAGTGGATTGATCTGATGAATGCGTAGCTAAATGTACTGTTAGGAGGTGGGGCATGGTTGGAAGAGGTCAGTGGAGATAATGACCTGGAAGGGTCTATCGCCCTCCTTTTCCCTCCTGCTCTCTCTCTGCTTCTTGGCTGCCGTGGGTGAGCACCTTTTCCTTTACCATGCCCCTTTGCTATCCTGTCTCTGTCTTGAGGCAGACAGACCAATGACTGGTAGTGAACCAAAATAAACCTCTCTTCTTTGAAGTTGTGAGGGTTGGGTGTTTTGTTCTAGTGGCAAGGAAAGTGACTAAGACAGCAAGTCTTACATGATGGAATATATATGTTATTAAAATTCATGGTTTTTTGAAAAATATAAATGTATGATCTAGGAAATGGTGCTTCACTATATCAAAGGAGAATAAAAGAAAAAAAACTATCCCAAACCAAGAACAGTGAAAGTATATGAAATATCCAATGAAAAAAAAAACATGAGCTGTCTTGAGGAAAACAGCAAGAAAGACATTTATAAACTATTAGTGATAGAGAAGTTCTGAGTCCAGTTAAGAGAATGTTGTATGGTTAACAATGAGTGTGTATGAAGGGAGAGTGCATTTGGGGGTGGGGTGGCAGTGCAAATGGGCAGTCATTCCTTAATACTTTGAATTTAAACGCCATCCACTAAAATGAGTTCCTTTTGTAAAAAGCAGCTTTATCACAGTTTGCATACCATAAAACTCACCCATTCTAGTGTATAATTCAATAGTTTTTAGTAAATGTACAGAACTGTGCAATGTTACTATGATCAAATTTAAAATTTCTGTCACTTTAGAAAGAAACCTCATGGGCTGGGGATTTAGCTCAGTGGCACAGCACCTGCCTGGCAAGAGCAAGGTCATGAGTTCGATTCCCAGTACTGGAAAAAAACCAAAAAAAAAAAAAAAAAAAAAAGAAAGAAACCTCATGACTATTTACAGTTACTCTCCTGCACAGGGTGACTATTAATTTACTTCCTGTCTTTTTGCCTTTTCTGGATATTTCAAACAAAATGGGATCCTATGGTTTGATCTTTTTGTGTGCTGTTCATTTAGCATAATATTTTGGAGTATGTCTGCATTATATATGTATCAGTACTTCATTCCTGCATTAGTCTTTTTTCCTGTCACTGGGACAAAATACCTGATACAATTTAAAAGGGAGATTTATTTTGGCTAAAAGTTTCGGAGGGTTCAGTCCATGACTGGCTGGCTACAAAGCAGAAATGATTTGGCACAAGGGCCTGGTGGAAGAAAGCTGTTTACCTCATGCCAGCTGGGAAGCACAGAGAGAGAGAGAGAATGAGAGAAGGGAGGAGTCAGGGGCAAGAATACTATTCTAGGCCAGGTCCCACTGACCCACCTCCAATCAGACCCTACCTCCTCATAGCACTTTCAGCAATGAACTCATAAATAGATTAATCCACTGGTGAGTATTGTACTTTCCCGATCCAGTCACCTTCCAAAAACTCTACCTCCAAACTCATGAGATTTGGGGAACAGTTTAGATCTACACCATAACAGTTTCCTTTTGTATGGCAATAGCACACTCTACCTGTTTACCGATTATTAGACTTCTGGCCAACTTTCCTTTTTACTGGGGATTTCTCAAGATCTTTAAAAGGGCAATATATATTTTTCACTTTTCCAGTAGGGACTTTGAAACCCAGACCTGTCACATGTTTGTCTATGGTCCTGAGTAAACATCCAAGTGGCAACTCTCTGGGGTTATGAGTGATTTTTTATTTTGTTTTTGTGCCTCTCTATATTTTCTATAGTGACAATGGTTAACTTTTACTTTTTGAAAAGAATAAATGTTATTTCAGAGTAAGGGTAGGACCAGGAGTGTAGTAGGTTCAAGGCTATGGGTTTGGTTCCTGGCACCAATTAACAAAAAAGGTAGATGGTTCATCAGTGTCAATTATAATGGCGGGAAATTAGACTCAGAGCTTTATAGCTAAATATAGTAGAGGTAAATTGGGGCACATCCACAGAAATGTGGACCAGCCTGCTGCATGCTACCAGTGTGGTGAACATCTTCTTTTAATTTATAATTTCCTATTACTTTTCTCCTGCCCTCTTTTGTTGGGTGTGGGACTGTGTCTTGAATACTTAGTGCCTGGCACATAGTAGGCCTTCAGTAAACAGTTGAAAGACACTCAAAGATAAGAAATATGCACGGTCAAAATATGCTAAAATGTAGTGTTTGTCTCTTTGTACTGAGATTATAGGTGACATTTTCTACTTTATGGCTTTATTTCCTTTAATGGGCATGAATCCTCTTACAATATTCTTAGCTAATACTTTAAAGCAGAATCGAAAGCCTTCCTTTTCTTGACTTTTGTCCTTTCTGTGTTCCTGTTCCTCATACCTTGCTTGCTCTAAACCAGTAGGCAGTTTGGCTGACGTTATTCAGGATCATTTACCAACTCTTCAGGGTCTCACAGTGGGAACAGGGACAAGTGTTTTGGAAGAAAGTCTCATCTGAACAACGTATTAGATATTGCAGTGCACAGGAAAGGAATAGTTTATGTAGAGTGATGTGTAGGTTGAGCTTTTCTTAAGTATCCAAGAAGAGGAAAAGTAATTTTCTTTAGAGAATAGCAATAGAATATTAAATACAGTAGTGTTCTAATGGGCCATCTTTGTGCCCTTTTGCACACTTCCGTGGGTTCATTTTGTAGTTTGGGATTCAAACAGACTGAGCCGGTAGGGACCTGGGACTGGAAGGTGGCCTGGCATCTGTTGGAAGTGTGATTGTTCAGTCCTCCTGGACACCTATCAGGATCAAGGTAGGAGAATGCCAGTGACAGAGTTCCACTTGTTGGGTTCCACTTGTATAGTGGGTGTGGTGAGGTGAGATGGTCATTCATGGCCCATGTAGGCTGCTGGGGGTTGAGAGAAGGCGCCTGCCATGCCTAGGTGTGAATTCATCCTGCTTCCTCTGCCTTGTCTAGTACTTTGGACACGTTGCCCAAGTGGCCCACATTTCTCAGGGTGCTTCTCAGGGTGGGGTTTATATCAAGCATCAGGCCACCATGCAGCAGGGTGCGTCCTCTTATTCTGTGTGCTGCAGAGCATGTCTGAGTGTTCTCGGGGGCCAGTTTGTCTTCTTACATACGTGGAACTGCCCACTCCCTCATGTGCTCTCCTGGAGCCACAACCATCTAACGTTGCCAGGGCTTGTACCTCTGCCTCCACTGCTCTCTTTCCCTATGATGAGTTACTTGGAGGAGGTCCTTGGTCTTCAGTGTAGATAGATCCCAGGTGACTGGCTGCACCCCACCCACTTGCTGCGCAACGCCCCTTCCCAGGTGCAGTTAGCATGAGCAGGGTGTAGGTTCAAGTGTCCTTGCTTCATCCCCTTCTACAAGCCTTCTCGTGAGGTTTATGTGAAGATGGTGATGATGTGTGTCACCCTTCTTAAGGCCTGGCCTCTGATAAAAGTCTTTGTTCTTGTTTTCCTTTTTCTAGTACTTTCTAGTCCATTATCAAGCCCTTGTTTTTTCTGTATAAAGCAGTGAGTTAGATCCTAAGTAACATACATGTGTGTCTCAGGCATTTTCCTTGTTGCTGAGACACAATACCAGGCACCCGCAGCTTAAAGGAGTAGTTTATTTTGGTTCATGTTTTCAGGCCACGGGTGGCTGGCTCCAAAGCAGAAACAGTGTGGCAGAGGGGCAGAAAAGCTACACGCCTCAGGGAAGCCAGGAAGCAGAGAGAGGGAGAAGCTGGAGAGGGAGAAAAGTACGCCCTTCCAGGTCACACCTCCAGTGATGGCCTCTAAATTCGGGGCTGTAGCACCTGCTAATCCAGTCATCGTCTGCACAAGCCCCACCTTTGAGGCATGAGGCTCCATGGGCCTTCTCTGTCTAAATTGTAAGAATGTGTTTCCTGACCTCAAAGCCATTGATTAGACTGGTTAAGGGAACAGGACACTTACACAGCCTGAGGGGTTGAGCTCGGGAAGGGCAGAGCTGGGCTGGGTGGACGAGGTGTGTGTGGTGTAGGAGATGATGCAAAGGTGGGTCTGCTCTGGAAGGACCCTTTACCCTGCCCTGGGTGACTTGATGGGACCAGCCCAGCTGGTGTGGTTTGGCATTACAATGGGGCCTCAGGAGTTTGCTGAGGAAGGGTTTTGGTTTCCCTAAGCCTTGGGCAAAATCAGTTGCGCTGTTCACCTGAGCCCTTCTCTAGAAATTTCCTAATGTTCCCATAGGTCAGTGATGGCAAACCTTTTAGAGACCAGGTGCCCAAGCTGAACCCAAAGCCTACTTATTTATTGCAAAGTGCCAGCACTGCAATTAAATCTGAATACTGAGGTTTTAGTTTAGAATAAACAACTCATACAGCTCATGACATCATCATAGAGAGGGCTGTGCATGCCTGCTGCCACACATGCACCATAGGTTTGCTACCATGACCTTAGGTGCTCGGTTTCTGGCTCTAATATACATTTGTCTTTTGCCAGATCTGTGTTGAGGGCAATATTGCAAGTGGGAAGACGACGTGCCTGGAATTCTTCTCGAATACAACAGATGTTGAGGTATGGCATTTACACTGGGTTGGAAGAAACCTGAAAAGTTTTAATAGGCTGATTTATAGAGAAGCTGTCCAAGAGGAATATAATGCAAGCTGTAAGTACAAGCCATATGCATAATTTAACATTTTTTTTTTTTAATAGTACTAGGGATTGAACCCAGAGCCTTGTGCATATCAGGCAAGGATTCCACCACTGAGCTATATCCTCAGCTGTAGTGTAACATTTTTTCTTTTCTTTTTCTAATTAAAAAAAATTTAAATTATTTTTTAAAACTTTAAAACGTCTTTATTTACTAGTTTTTCCCTTAATTTTTATTTTTTATTAATACATGTTTATAGTGCATGGTGATCACTAGTTTTTCCCTTAATTTTTATTTTTTATTAGTACATGTTTATAGTGCATGGTGATCACATTTCCTTGTGGAGAGTTGATACATGTACATATCACATCTTAATTCTTTTTTCATCCCCTTTCCTTCCCTTCTCTTCTCTCTCCCTCCATCTCTTGGTTCCCTTCCCATTTGCAAAAGATCTAGCTTTCTACTTCCTGTTATTTAATATATAATTTAACATCTGTAATAGCCTTAATTTAAAAAGAACATTTTAAATTATTTATTTTTAAAAAACATTTTATTTCACATAGGATAGCCCAAATATTATCGGGTCAATCTGTGGTCAGAATAAAAAAAATCATCAGTGAGCTATTTTGCATTCTATTTTTTCTGTTAAATCTGGACTCTGATGTGTATTTTGTACATACTGTATCTCTCATTTTGGACTACAGAGTCCCTAACTTAAAATGATTTGACTTGAGATTTTTTGACTTTGCAGTGGTGCTAAAGCCATACCATTCAGTAGAAACTGTACTCTGATGTGCAGTAGTGTATTAAGTGCATTTTCAACTTGTGGTACAGTCATTGTTTTGGTATGTTTGGGGGATATTTCCAGGTAGATTGATGTGTGAGTCAGTGGAACATTCAGCTGGCCAGAGGCCTGGATAGAACAAAAAAATGAGAGAAAAAGATTCCCTCTGTCTCTCTCCTGGAGCTTCCTCTTGCCCTGAGATATCAGAAGTCCCGGATGTCCAGCCTTGGAAGTTCAGGCCATACTTAGACCAGAGGCTCTATGAGTTCATGGGCCTTCAGCCTCAGACTGAGAATTATACCATTGGTTTCACTGGTTCTGAGGCTTTTGGACTTGGACTGAGCCATGCTACCAGTATCTCAAAAACTCCAGCTTGCGGACTACTTGTAATAAGATAGAGTTCTCAGCCTCCAGAAGAGCTAATTTCCCTAACTAATTCCCTCTCATGTATCTATTTCTACATTTATCCTGTTGGTTCTGCCTTTGGAGAGCTCTTGACTGATACACATGGCTAGTGTGTGGTAGGGCCAGATCCCAGCTCAGGGTATCTATCTCAGGAGCATGCCCTTTGGTTCTTCTGTGGTGTGGAGAACTGGTCAGCTTTAGGATGGTCACTCACCCTTCAGGTCATTTCTGGAAGTTACATGGGGAGGCCACATCTAGATGGAGTTGTGGCTTCACAGAGGGAGTTGCTCAGGTGTTTGGGCCCACCCTTGGCAGCCAAATCTTGATAGTGCCTTTCTTTCTTAACACTTGCACACGCACAGAGCTTAGCTGGGCAGTAGCAGCTTGCTACTACTACTTGCTACTTGCTCAGTGTTTTCTTTTCTTCCAGGTGTTAATGGAGCCTGTGCCCAAGTGGAGAAATGTCCGAGGCCACAATCCTCTGGTGAGTGGCTTCTTCTGTGAACCTCAAGCTCTGTGTTGGCAAGGCTGTGGTGCACATGTTATTTTAAATTGTTTTTTTTCTAAACTAAAACCTCAGTATTCAAGTTTAATTGCAGCGTTGGCACTTTGTGACAAATAAGTGGGATTTGGGTTGCAGTTTGGTAGTCTTGAAAAGGTTCCCCATCGCTGCTCTGGCTTCTTCTTAAGTGCCTGAGAAGGTGGTGCTAAAACCTGAACCCAAGCCTGTTCAGATATTTTTCTCATTATTAGTTGAGTTGGAGGAGAACAGGAGGGACAAGCAAAAAATAGTGCTTTATTAGGATCCTGAGGTGAAATCTCTGAGGTCTGGGCTGGTGTACAGAGCCAAGGGACCTCACATTCACTATCTGCAGTCATCCCAAATGGCTGTCAGAGCCCACGTCTCCTTAATTACTTTTCTTGTTGCTAAGACAAAGTACCTGGCACCCAAAGTTAAAGGAGCAAAGGTTTATCTTGGCCCACAGTTTGTAGAGGTTTTAGCTCCTTGACTCCAAGTCAGGGTAGTGTGGCAGAGGGGCATTGCAGAGGAGAAACAGTTCAGGTGGGCAGAAGGCAGGGAGGCAGCAAAGCAGTGAAGTATCAAGCAGCAAGCCACTGCAGCAGCCCTCTTTCTGTCCCTTATATCCTATCCAGGGTACATGCCAGTAAGGTGGGTAGCAATCCTACCCAGGGTGGGCTTTCGCATTATCCGCACCCAGAACTGTGCCAAACCAATCAGTCGACTAAGTTAGTAACAATACACCCTTAATTCCAGTGTCACACAATCCCAGCGTCACACACTGTAGATCCAGCCACCTCTGAAAAGCCCCACCTAGGACCACATGAGGCTTTAGGGGGACATCTAGACATAAGCCATCACACCAGCTTCTTTGCTTAACCCTGGATTTTGGTTTACATCCAGTAACTGGCTACTTCTTGCTCTCCCTGAAGCCACATGTCTGCTTCTCAGGGTGGACCTAGAAAGCAGGAGCTGGAGTCTGCGTGTGTCCACCTTCCTCTCCCTTTCAGAAGACTGCTCTGTTTGCTTGAAAGACATGGATAGAACCTGGCTCCTGCCCAAGAGGACTTAATAAAGGGATGTTGGTTCTGGGCTCCCATTACATAGGAATAACTCATCTTACTTTTCAGTTGGGGAAACTGCAACTTAAATTGTCTTAAGGTCACACTTCTGGTGCATGACAGATCTAGGTTTGAGCCTTGGACTTGAAAACTTGTGCAGCTCCTTCATTTTTAGTGGTGTGGTTCCCATCTCGTGTGGTTTGTTAGACTCTGCGTTCCACTGCAGGTAGGGCCTGTGTCTGTTTTATTCAGTTGTTTGCTTGAGCATAGGCTCTTAGAAGGTGCTTATCCATTTATTCTTTCAGCCAGTACTGAATGTGTACCTTCTGTGTGTGTACTGTTCCAGATTCTGGGATAGTAGGCAATTCGAAGCCCCTTTTCTCTTGCTCCTGATACTCTAGTATGGGAAGGCAGGAGACAGATGTAGACTGTGGTGGGTGGTGATAGGAACTATGAAGAAAGCTAAAGCAGGTGAAAAGGTATTACTTGAATAAGGCAAGCTCTCAGGGCTTTTGAATAAAGAATCCCACAGAAATACGAAAAGAATTTCACCTGTGTGCCTGTGGGAACAGATGGAGTGCCAGTGTAACAAAAACCATATTCTCTAGAAGCCAGGGAGGAACCAGGGTTTGATTATTAGGTGGGACAACTAGCACACGTCAGGAATTATAGTGCCACATCACTGGACAGAATCACAGCCTCAGAAGGTTGAGTATCCTTGATCCAAATAGCATTTCCACTGAAAATGGAATAATAAAAAAGTACAACAGACTCAACATTTTTACATCTTCTGGACAGAAGAGCAAGATACGTATTTTTGTGATCAGTCTGTTGCTCTGTCTGATTGGTTCTCTGAAGCATGTCTGTTGCTGCAGCCATTTGGCTCCCAGCCTTTCTGAGATTTTCCTACACCTGCCTTTAAGAGGGTCTGCAGTTTTCATTGCCGACCCCTGGAGTGCCTTAAGTTTGCATCAAGCAAACATAAGCAGAAAACCCCAAAAAGGACAGAGTAAGATTAATGAGTGGAACAGAAGATATTTTGCATCTCCTAGTGATGGGACGCTTGGTTTGGGTAGGCTTCTGTTTTAGATAGGACAGTCTGATAAGGTGACATTTGAGCTGAGATCTAGACAGGAGGGAGGGAGCACTGTGGGCATCTGAAGGAAGCATTCCAGCAACAGGAATGGCAGATGCAACGGCCTTGAGGTGGGGCCCTGCTTGGCCTATGTGGTTGGAAGCTGACTGGTAGGAGATGAGAGGGGGTGGCAGTGAGTCTCAAGGGCCCTGTGGACTGTGGTGAGGAACTGGGTCGCATTCTGAATGTAATGTGGAGCCCCTGGAAGGTTCTGAGCAGGGTGGGTGACAAGAACTGGTTTAACCCACTCACTTTACCTGTTGGATGGAGAACAGATCCCAGGCGGCTCAAAGAACCTTTACTGAATGACTGAATGCATCGTCCCTGGGGAAAATTCTGGTCTAGCTGTCACTGGGCTGTCCTATAATAGCTTTAATATCTCTCTTTGTCCAGGCTTTTTTTTGGGTTTTTTTCCAGTACTGGGAATCAAACTCACAACCTTGTGTTTGCCAGGCAGGCGCTGTGCCACTGAGCTAAATCCCCAGCCCCAGTCCAGGCCTTTTTGAGGGCTCTGCTACCATTCTGGGTTCACCTCTGGCTCCAGCCCAGTCCCATGTAGGTCTCTTTAGCTGGCTTTTAGTGACAGATAGACCAGGGTCCTGCAGATTCCACGTTGCCATAAAATGCTGCATTCTCCCTTCTGCAGGGTCTGATGTACCGTGATGCCTGTCGCTGGGGCCTCACGCTGCAGACATACGTGCAGCTCACCATGCTGGACCAGCACACTCGTCCTCAGGTATGTTCTGGATACTCAGCTTCAGCCTTGCCAAATAAAATTTTCTTCACATTAGGGGTTTGTAATTGCTGGCAGGAAGCCCTATAAGGGCCCTGTGCTACACAGCCTTTCTGTCTCGGCCAAGGTCACCTATCCTTCAGCTCTCTAAGGGCCAGCCTCAGCTGGCCAGGTGGCCACCCTAATACTGCTCTGAGCTTGCAGCTTTGGGACCTGACCACAGCTGGGCTCAATAGCATTTGATTCAGTTCTTCTCAGAGTGTGGTATGGGCTGGCAGTGACAGCAGCAGTATCACTGGGAACTTTTAGAAATGCAGATTTTCTGTCCCCACCCCTCACCTGCTAAATCAAATTCTGGAGATGAGGCTTGATGTGTTTTATCAAGCTTTCCAATACACATTTTGTTTTTTTATTTTATTTTATTTTATTTTTTTTGGTTTTTCTCCGGTACCGGGAACCGAACTCACGGCCTTGCGCATGCCAGGCAGGCGCTTTTTGCCGCTGAGCTAAGTCCCCAGCCCCTTCAATACACATTTTGGATGTCTGCATGTTTGAGAACCACTGATCAAACTTTCTTGGCTCTGGCTCTTAGTTCAGATTCTTGAATGAATCTGATGCATCTTGGGCCAGTGGCCAGCCCCAGTTCACGTAAGTGTTGGGGCAGAGCACAGGGCAACAGTGCTGCTCAGGTCCTCCTGTTAGTGGGGCTGTGACTAGGAACAGACTCTTAGAGGAAGGATGGCTGGGGAGACCCTGCTTGCACCCGTAGCTCAGAACTGTGAGCACAACTGAAGACATCCGTGTTAGAGGCTCTTCATGATAGGTACAGGACATATCTGTAGCCAGTTAGGTTGGTATAGCTACTGGGCTGGGCAGTTTGATCCAAGTCTCAGCATGTGGAGCTTTAGTCAGCATTGTTCTGTTAACACGAATCTGTGTCTTTTACCATTGGAAGATGTGAGGACCTTTTTGGTGAAGATAAATTTCTCTCTCCCCAAATGTGACACAGATCAGAGGATCTGCAGTTAGTGCTTTTCCCCTTGGCTTACCCTATTTTTTCTGAGCGGGCAGTCAATTGAAAACCTACATTGTATCTAATAATACCTGACTATAAAGGGACCCAGATGGAAATCTCCTGCTAAAGAGGCAGAGACAGTGAGAGCTAGGAGAATAAAGCAGGAGAGCCAGGGAAGGTAAGCAGAGCTGCAAATACAGAGAGGGTGGAGAGGAAGATGGTGAGTAGAGGTTTGGAGGGACAGGGAGACAAGCAGGGAGAGAGAATTAGGGGATTCCTGGGTTATGGCTTTGAACGTGTCTGATTTGCTGGTCCACAGGTGCTATGGACCACCCCCATGAGAGCAGTTTGTCCACTTGGTGTTAAGGGAAGGGCCTCTCCTCTTTCCAAAGGGACCCTGGATGAAGGGAAAGGTCATCTGGGGAGGATGTAGGTACCCTGGCAGAGAGAGGCAGTGTCCTGTCATCCTCCTCCTGGGTTCGACAAGTCCTTCCCAGTTTCTACAGTCAGAGGTCCAGGAATGCCACCCTCACCCCAGGGCTTTTGGCGCGCTATCTCTGGCACACAGGTATCGGGGTCTTGGCCTAGGCCCAATCTCCTAATGAGTGGATGGTGAATGGCTTACATAACAGAGACCAGTAGTATGATTTTTGGAGCATCCAGGGAAGTCAGAATTCTCTCTCAGGAGTAAAGATGAAGAGCTCCACTGGACAGCCCATATTTATTTGGTTTCAAACAAAGGAAGGAGATACTGAGGCAAGCATGGGAAGGTGACCTGAGCGGGACCTTGGGAGTCAGTTCAGAGACTTCTCCAATTAGTAAATTTTGCCAGTTCAGAGAACTGTTTGATTGCTAAGCTTTATTGCTCTGGAATCGGAAGTGTCAGCAGCCTATGTCCTTGGCTGCCTCAACTGTGGTTGTCTTGACTTCAGAGCACGGTGTGTGTGCTCTTTTCCAGCACAGCCAGAGGTCCCTGTGTTCAGCAGCTTAACCCTGTACAGCCTGGTCTCCAACACGCAGGCGCTCTTCTTACAGCAGAGTCACCTTGTTTAGGTCCTTGACACTCCCCTTCCCCTGCAGTGCGCCTTGGTGGGCAAACTTGGCAGTTTCACCAGGGTCTCCCCACATTTTGGTTGAAGTTCACCTTTACTGGGAAAGAGGCATCTGTGGTGAACCCTCAGCCCCTTGCTCCTGCACTGTCCCAGAAACTTCAGGGCAGGGGTGGTCAGGCAGAGGGAGGAGCACAGCTGATCTTCGCGTCAGACTGGGCTTCTACTCAGGTCCTCCCCGCTTTCCCCAGCGTCTCGGTTCTGATATTCAGCGAAGATGAGGGGATAAAGCTGGGGTGTGGGACAGACCTTTAAAGGCTTCCCGACTCCCTCCTCTTCACCCAAGTTAATCACTTTTTGTTTTTCCTTTAGATGTCACCAGTACGACTGATGGAGAGGTCGATTCATAGCGCAAGATACATTTTTGTAGAAAACCTTTATAAAAGGTACTGTAGTTTTTACCATGTATAGTTTATTTAACCATTAATTTAAAAAAAATGGAAGTTGGAACTTGTTTGTTAGTTGACAGATACAAGTGTCTGCTCTACTGTATCAATCATCTGTTGCCACCGTAACACTGGGTAACAAACAACCACAATCTTACTGGCAGTAGCTACCTGCATTTGTTGCCAAGTCAGCCAGGGTGGGTGGCTGGGCAGCTCCCTTGCTGTGAGATGTCCGGGGTCAGCTGGGCTAGCATGGTCTTAGCCAGGGTGACCGCGACAATGTCGCTCTATTTCTCATGCCCATCAAGTCCCTTCTGGGGCCAGCAGATGAGCCTGGGTGTTCACATTTCTGGGAAATGGCAGAGGAGGGTAAAAGCCCCAGCCAAGATGCATGGGCTGGAGGGCCAGGGATATAGCTTAGTAGCACAAGTGCCTGTGTGGCAAGCACAAGGTCCTGAGTTTGATTCCTGGTACAAAAAAAAAAAACAAAGACACATGAGCATTTTCTCAGGCCTCTGCTTCCAATTGGCTAGCGTTCCATTGGTCGTGTGGTCATGGGAACCCGGGGTTAGGAGGTGGGAGGATTTAGGGGGTTCCATGGCAGAGTGCAGGGCCCCTCCCTCCCAGTTCTGCAGCTCTTCTCCTCCCCTCCCTCCCCACCCCGCTGTGCTGATGGGTTGAGCCCCTTGTTCTGCTCTGTTCTGCTCTGTTCTCTCATCTCTTCTCTTCTTTCTCTCCTCCCTCCCTTCTTCCTTTCTTTTTTTGTGAGACTGGGGATTGAACTTGGGGCCTTATATATGTTAGGCAAGTGCTCAACCACTGAGATACCTACGCCCTCCCTTTGCTGTTCTTAATGATTTTCTAGTGATATGTAAGATAATCACATAAAGTATTAACATTTGACCATTTTTAGCCTGCAAAATGGAAGGTCCAACCTAGTCCATTTTATTCAAGTGTCCACTGTTCACCCCTCACTGGACCATGTTCCTCAAGGAGAGGGACTGCATCTTACTTACTTGCCTAACTTGGACCAGCACAGAGCAGGCTCCTGGTCAGTATTTGTTCACTGACTACTGAATGTTCTGTGGTCTGTAGTACAACTTACCCGCTAGACCCTGGCCCTCTATTTCACATGGATTCCTTTGAGTGGGCCACTAAAAAGATGGCTGCCAGTCCTGAGCTTTCATGGATTGTGTTTGGAATCTGTGTGACTCCCAACAGGAGATGCTCTGCCCCAAATCCTTGGTCCTCAGGCAGCTCTGAATATCAGCCAATGCTGTGGGTCAGGGTAGGGAGCTAGAGCAAGTTTTGATGGTAGCTTTGTCTTCTGACCTCACATTTTCCTGCTGGGCTCTTGGGGGATGTGTAGATACAAACCGTAACAGCAGGGTCCCAGTCCTGGATGGAGTTTGCTCATTGTGAACATAACCAGTATTCTAAACTCTGAGCCCATTTCTTATTGCTGAGTCCCATGGTCCATCTCTGAATAGCCTTTGGAACAGTTGCGTAGTTTGAATCTATGACCTTTGTAGGGTTTGTCAAACCTGTCCCCCTAACACAAGCACTGTCCCGAGGAGCTGTTTGTTTTTGCTTATCCCAGGGCACAGTCTTAGCTGACATCTGTGAGCTTCGGTGACTCATCACTACATTTCATCACACGCCTCTGATGAATCAGTTCTGTATTTCCCAGCCATTGTAGCTGTGGCATTGGTTTAAATAACACAGGCCCTGCCCTGAGCTATTCTGTGGGTAGTACAGGGAGAGAATAACTTTCTGTATTCTTTCTCTGGCTGTTTTCCTGTCACAGTGACTTCATATTTATGCCTCCCTTGACCTCCCTTTTTTTTTTTGATACAAGGTATATCTATGGGGCAGTGAACCACAGATGACGTCAGTGCTCTTGTTTGTGTTCTTGGTTCTGTTTCAAGGTTATACAAATTCAAAAGGCACATAGATTCCCCTGAGGACTTGCTGAGACCCTTGCAGAAGCCAAAGGCTGTTGGCTGGCATGTGGCCCTGGGTACTCCAGAGGCTGTTGGCAGTCCTGTGGCACCCTGGGTGATGTGGCCACTCACCACAGTTTTTAGTGGGCTGGGAAAGGGTGATGATCCTTAGACCCTTTTTGCGAAGTCCTCCAGAGGCAGAGGGAAGTTCCCACGGGCACTGCCTGCCCATTTTGCCATCCCAGCCCCTGTGGCCCAGAGCAGCAACTTGTTAGCAACCTGGAAATGTCTTCTAAGTGTTCTCTTTTGTTCTAGGAATTCATTTCTATTTTTCATTCTGTTCCATTATATGTTCCCTTCATATCTGTAATAAATCTTCACTCGGAGTACCCCTTCCCTTACCACATATCCCAGAGTCCCCAGGGTGGGAAGGAAGAGAACCAAGGACAAGAAGCATTGAAAAATGCTTTCCTAAGGCAGGCGATTCATGGGTGACCAGGACCAGCTCCTGTGTTCCCTGGACTAGGGGCATTGACCCATGTGGTTGAGGGTCACAGGAGGGACCAGGGACAGGAGCTGTATTGGTTATCTGGCTGTTGGCCTTTTGGTAGATGAGAAACTGAGAAGGAATTACAAAGCCAACTCCTTGCTGAGAATGTGAGACTGTTTCAGGCAGGGGAAGGTGTTCTGCAGCCTGCTCTGTGGGAAAGCAAGGAATGAGGAAGTGGTGAGAGACTCACAGTTCTCTCACTCTGGCCCAAGGCTCAGGGCTCGTTGGAGCCCCAAAGGGTGAAAATCCTGTGGTTCAAGACCCTAGGGGAGACCCTGGCTCTTTCTACACAGGCTTGCTACCGGTCTCTCTTGTGCAACCCACTAACACGCAGGCCCTGCTTTAGAGCAGCTGGGCAGTGTCTCGATATCTGCATTTCCAGCAGGCCTCCAGGGGAGGTGCTCCTGTGGTTTTGGTGCCTAACTCAGAGGAACAAGGCCCAGCAGAAGACACCAGCCAGGTGTCTGCGGGCAGCGTTTTGTCCATACACCTTGGCCCTTTCCCGTGGGAGCCCTGCTGCTGTGGCTTCCTTCGGGCCTCACTGGGCCTTTGGGGTCATAAGGGCAAGAGCCTTAGGATGGAGGACTTAACTATGCAGGATATCCTGTTTCCTGCACTTGGCCTGCGTTTCATTCTTCATTGCACAGTTACTGCTTTAGGTTTTGGTTATTGGGGGTTTTGTTGTGTTATCTTTGTTTTGAAAGTTTGTGGTTAATTCCCAGGCCTAGAGTAGGCTGAAGAGTCTGTCTGTCTGTCTCTGTCTCTCTCTCTGGTGTCTCACTGTGTGTTCCAGGCTGACCTTGAACTCACTGTATAGCCAGGCTGACCTAAAACTTGTGGCGATCCTCCTGCCTCAGCTTCCTGAATGCTGACATTAAAGATATGTGCCACCGTGCCCAGCAGAGCTTCTTTCTTGCTCTCTCATTTTTTTTTTTTTTTTTTTTTGATACAAGATCTCACTACATAGTTCAGGCTGGCCTTGAACTCACCATGAAGCCCAGGCTGGTCTTGAACTTGCAGTGATCCTCCTGCCTCAGCCTCCCGAGTGCTGGGATTACAGACGTAGGGCTTCTCTCTAGAGACACAGTGAAAAGTATTTTTGGCCAGAGCTACAGAGGAGTGAATGGGAAGAACAGTAGAATTTGGGCTTCTTTTGTGGTTACTCTGTTTCCAGCTCCAGCTTCCCTCAGCGCAGTGGATGAGCCACAGGAAAGTGCTTGTTGAGAAAGTAGACTTTTAAAAAGAGGTTTCTGCTCCCTCCTCTGAAATACAGAAAAAAATCCCAATCCTAGCATGTGAGAATCAGCTGCCCAAAATGGACAGTGCTGAAAGACAAAAGAGAGGCGGACATGTCCAGGATTACACACAGTACAATTTGTTACAGGCTTTTGGAGAGGGATATATTTTGGGCAGCAGCAAGACAGGTCAGTTGCTCAGCCTATAATGTAGGAGAAAGAGGCTCATTTACTAAGCTAGACAAAAGTGAGCCACTGTCACCTGGAATGTAGCTGGGCTTTCTCAAAAGCTGTGACTATGTCCAGTGTCAGAGAGTCTGGTGGTCAGTGGCTGGCCTGCTGCACTTGGCTGACTGTCTTAATGACTTTATTTGTCCCGTTCGATTTGGGATGCACACCAGGGCCATCTGGTGGGCAAAATGGTAGTTGCAACCAACATGGCTGTAGTCATGTCAAGCTGGGTATCTATAATTGTTTTGACCCTACACTGAATATGGCATAGAATTGAGTTTAGCGCTATTGTTTGCCCATCCTGGAACAGGAGGATTTGCCTCCTGCCTGTGGGAGTTCAGCCAGGTACTGGCATGTGTGGGGCATTATCTCCTGCCTGGGAGCTTGTTTCCTCACTTCCTACGATGCTCAAGGTAAATTCCTCCTATCCTGCTGTGATGGGAAGCCCTGTCACCAGGTGTATGTGTGTGGGGGTGTGCTGCTGCAGCCCTTTCCGCTGTGGAAGTTGATCCTTTCCTCAGAAGCCCTGGAAACCTTGATTGAGGCTGTTTAGGGGCCTAGACAAATAGGAGTATGGTAGGTTGTGGCCTTGCTGTCCGCAGTTGCATGCTCGTTTCTAGAAAAACCCATGTACACACGACTGGAATTCTCTGTTTCACCAAGTCAAAATTTCTTGAAGAACCTTCTTGCCCTTTGGGCCTTGAGCAAGAAAGAGCTCACCTAGAGAGAGAGACCCGCCTCCTCCCCTTCCGACACCCTCCAGCCCAGCCCTCCACCCCCAGCAGTGTTGGAGTGGGCAGGCTGTGAGTGCAGCTTTGCCGTCAGGGGTTTGAGAGGGTTGTGTTAATTGCTGAAGAGGAAGATTCTGGTTACGTGGTGTCCTTGAAGATGGAAACTGAGGTGTGGGCACCCTGGGCCGAAATGAAAAGCAGAAAGTGGTGAGAAAGCTTCTTGTAGCTGAAAGAGGCCACAGGCAATTTTGCAGCCCAGCCCCAAGGGCTGAGTAATGAAATATCAAGGTTTTACAACATTCCCTGCCCCTCCTTTTCTGAGAACAGAACTAAAGGAATTGAGGGGGCCCAGCTGGGTAACTGACTCACCTGGCGTGTTGGTACAGCACAAAGGTCTTCCCACCTCCCCGCCGGCCTTGGGGCTTGTATCCTCCGTGGCTCAGGTCCAGACCATGGGCTCTAAGCCTGCTGTCCTCAAGTTCATGCCACAAGACACCAAGCTCCATCTAGGACAGCCTTGTAGCAGACAGACCATGGAGGGTGAGTGATGATCAGAAGCCTGGCTCAGACAGAACTGGACCTAATTCTTCTGCCCCACTTTTTTTCATCTGTAAATTGGGACCCAAACTAGCCTCATAAGGTCTTGTGAAACAGAAGGAAATCATGTATATAAGGCAACTAGTGTTTGAATGTGAGGTTTCTGTTTTTGTCCATCCCAAACAAACTGGAGGCTTCTTAGACCTCCGGGGAAAAGTTGTAGTAAATCGTGCCTGGAAAAACAGTTTATAGAACTCACGTGGGCCCCAGACCTTGACTTTGCCGAGGGATAAGGGATAAGGGGAGGGTTGCTGTGAGACCTCTGGGTGCGCTGTAGTGAGTCAAGTCGTGTAGGTTTACTGAGGAGAGGTGCTGCCCCTCTGGTCTACAGGGATAGAGGCACTGCGTGGTCTTGGGTGTCAGAATCCCTGTGCTGAAAGTAGACATGGGTGGGGCCGGGCAGAATTTCTAAAAGGAAACTGCACATGGGGATAAAACGGATGTCTAATGTCTCAGATCCTGATGTCTCAGAATCAGAGTCCAGGCTTCTGCTTCCTCATGTGGCTCATGACCAATCCCCAGGATCCTCCAGTACCTTGCGGCACATGGCTCCTGGCGGTCTTGGAATGGTTTCCCTGGGTCTGGTGTGCTGCCTGTCAGGGAGACCACCCCATGAGAACCCCTTTTTTGAGAGGAGCATTGGGAAGGGAGGGACAGCCTTGTGGGAGAAGCCCTTGGTTTGAGCTGGGTTGGCGGTGAGGTGGGGTGCCCCCCTAGCCACCCAGTTGATTTCATGAGACCTGCTGGAGCAGAGGAATCGGTGGCTCTGAGGCTCCGGAACCTCATACCCCATCCCCACCTAGGTGTGCCCCTCCCCGTTTGCCATGGCTCTGTACCTCCGTGCCCACGTGGCACTGTGCTTTCTGTGTCATGAATTTTGGTGCCGTTTCACGGTTGACTCGGGATTTGCAGCCTGTGTGAGGACCTCCAGCAGCCGAGTGTGACAGCTGCGCAGCCCCAGTAACTTGGGAGACTGCTGCTGGACAGCTCTGTCTTCCCCAGGCTGCTAAGTGACCCAGTCCCCAGGATTATGAGCCTGGTTGTGCTGGAGTATAGGAGGGGCTGATCATCAGCTTTGTTTGTTGCAAAACCTTACTTCTTCAGAGTGGGTTTTGTTCTGTCTTCTTTTCCCAGAGATGGGAAATACATTGTGTGGAGGGGACGACTTGGTGTCTTGAACATTAACTAAAGTGCTCTCAGCAGCAGTAACTGAAAACTGATGTAAAGGAACCTGAACAATGAGGCTGCCACTGGCTGTTAATTTGGTGGCTCTGGCTCTTCTGTGTTTTTTCCCCAGTGTTTCTTTCCTGTCCACTGCATGATTTCTTCAAGGTGACAAAATAACTGTGGCACTGCAATGCTTCTGACCTGCTGGTTGGAGCCAGGGCAGGTTCCTGCCAGTGGTTCCCTTGAGTGAGAGAACACTGCCTTCCCTAAGCCTCTGCATGACCTTCCTCCCCGTCATGGTTAAGTTCAGTCCCCTGGAGCACCGCATGAATCCACTGTCCTGGCTTGGCTGCCTGAACACGTCCCTTGGCAGGGGAGAAGATTGCCCTTGGACTCGGGGCCTACTAAAGTGTGGGTGGGGTGCGTAAAGGCGTGTGGGAGGTGAGAGGAAAGGATGGCAGGGGGCAGCCAGCTGTCTTCAGCCAACCAACCTGTGACACCAAGTCCTTACCTTAACTTTAGGGCTAGCATTTTCTTGAGTTGGGGTCCCCTCTGCAGTGTTGTGGGAGTCCTCCCCTCATGCCCCCAGTCCACACTGCCCCACACCCGTGCAGCTTGCCCAATTTTGGTGGGTGTCTTGGCAGTCCTGCACGTTTCTTCACATTAGTCTCCTTGCTGAAGTCTGCCCGTTACTAGTCCTGGTGCTCTGTTCAGCTCTGCTCTGGAGATCTCAGGGATGAAAGGAGAACATTCCCTCCAGTCTGTGCCAGGCCTGTCATTTTGGCCCCAAAGCAGTGCTGCTTGTGCACTTCGTCTCCCAGTGCACCTTCCTCAAACCATCTCAGCTTCTTACCTCCTCCTGCCGTCCCCACAGTGGGCTGGAGTTGGGCCACAGCTGGTGTCTTAGTTACTTTGCTTGTTGATGAGACAAAATACCTGACACCCAAAGTTAAAGGAGAAATGGTTTATTTTGACTCACAGGTTGTACAGGTTTCAGTCTATTATCAACTGGCTCCAAGATGGTGCATGGCAGAGGGGAATAGCAGAGGAGAAACACTTCATGGTAGGCAGAAGGCAGCAAAGTAGCTAAGTGAAGAGGTAGCAAGTGACAAGTGACAGCAGCCCTTATATTCTCTCTGGGCTACACATCCTTAGATGGGTAGTACACACATGCAGGGGAGGCCTTCCTATTAGCCACACCTTCCTATTAGCCACAGCCAGACCAATCAGTGGACTGATTTAGTAATCATACACCCTTAATCTTAGCATCACACACTCTAGATCCAGTCACCTCTGAGAAGCCCCACCTATGACCACATGAGGCTTTGGGGGGACAGCTAGACACAAGCCATGGTAACTGGGCAGGGAGGAGCCCCGTACTAGGCCCTGCCCTTCTCTCCCTGCCCAGGCAGCTCCCCAAAGCAGCCCAGTGCATCCACTCTCCTTCCCTGCACTGCAGCCTGCCATACCCAGAGCTGGGTGGGTCCCACGTGGAGCTGCAGGTGGAGGATGTTAAAAGGGAGCATTCCTTTCCTGGGCCAGATGCCAGCCACCTGCAGCCACTGCTGTCTCTTCCCTGTCTGTGTCCTCTGAGGGCAGATGACAGCCACAGGAATGCCAGGAGTAGACACCATGTCTCTCCTTACTCTTGGGCTCTTCCTTCCTTGCTCTTTACTTGCTTTTCAAGTTAAATTTAAAATATATAATGAAACTTGTCTACCCCCATTCCTGATTTGAAAACTAGTATGTTGTTAACATTGGGAAGATAAGGAGATAAAAAAAGGAGAAAAAAAGAGAAAGTCTGCTATAGTCCTACAGCTCAGAGGAGAGCACAGTTAACATTTGGTGATATTTTTTGTCATCATTTCAAAACGTGGATGAATATTTTGAAACTATGGTTGGGGTCGTATTGTGTGTAGATTTGTATTTTGCTCTTTCGTTGAGCACTAGATTTTAAGCATTTTCCGTGTCAGTAAGTATTATTTTACATCATCCTTTGTATGAAATCGTTTCTTCATACATACATATAGCAAGGTTTAGGTTTTCATTATTTTAGTGTTGTAGTGCATGATTATTTCCACAACATAAATTTCGGGGGGTGAAATTGATTTGCTGATCCACCTCCCAAGCTGAATGTTGTGTCCATCTTTAGGGAATGAACTTTAAAGTGTCTTCCTGCTTGGAGTTTGTATTCCAAATGCCTGTGCCTTGGATCTTTCTGCTTTATACTATAAACCAGTTGTGGCTAACCTGTGGCACACCTGTTATTGTGTTTTCTTTCTTTTTAAGACAAAAGATGTTAAGGTAGAATGTGTTTTGTTTTTCTAAATTAAAACCTCAGTCTTCGGGTTTAATTGCCATGTTGGGACTTTGTGACAAGGAAGTGGGTTTTGAGTTGCAGTTTGGCACTTAGTCTCTGAACAGTTCACCATCACTGCCATAAACCATCCCCAGCCAATGGGAGGTCAGGGGCTTAGGGGGTCCTGTCATCACTCCAACATCTTATGGACCATCTTGCGGTCTGGATGATACCTTTTTATTTTTTTATTTATTTATTTATTTATTTATTTATTTATTTACTTATTTTTCCGGTACCAGGGATCGAACTCATGACCTTGTGCTTGCTGGGCAGGCGCTGTGCCACTGAGCTAAATCCCCAGCCCCTGGGTAATACCTTTTTTAGTGAGAGCCATTTGTAGGTCTTTTTATGGGAACAGCACAGCCCAGTAACTTTCTCATGAGTGAGTAAACCCTTGAACTTTCACTGCAGTGGGAAGATGCCCGAAGTGGACTATGTGATTCTGTGTGAATGGTTTGACTGGATTGTAAAGAACATGAATGTCTCTGTTGACCTGATAGGTAAGACGGGCCCTCCTGCCCCTCCCTCCCGGACACTGCTGTGTCCACCACAGGGGTATTAGGCAGAGGGCACTCGCCTTTGGTAATTCCTTCCTCACGTTCATTCAATCTCTGTCCAAGGGCAAATGGGGTTTGGGGGTTTCTGGACCCATATAGAAAGGAACTGGCCTGATTCATTAAGCTGTCCTCCTCTGAGTCAGCTACTTTCAGACCCGGATCCTTGTGATTTGATGGCTTCTGTGGGTGGTGATGAGGGAGAAGGACAGAAACTGGACATTTACCAAGCCTGTCATGTGCCAGGCTCTGTGCCAGACTCTGTCTGCGGGTGGGATTGTGCCCAACCTCTCAGGGCCCCTGTGGGGCTGGTGACTGAAAGGAATGAGAGTTGGAGGCTGAGGTGCAAGGTACCTGTTTGGGCACAGAACACCAGTGGTCAAGCTCTGAGTGATCCCTGGTCTTCGTCTCTTACTGGGAGCTGTGGCTGCAGCTCCCCGTGCCTGGGCCATGTGCCTTCCCTAGGCTGTTTCTCCCAAGCCATGAATAAAGTGACTAGAGTAATATATTTTTTTTAAACTTCAGTTTATCTCCGGACAACTCCTGAGACCTGTTACCAGAGATTGAAGATGAGGTGTAGGGAAGAGGAGAAGGTCATTCCGCTGGTAAGAGGCCAAAAACAGCCGGAAAACTACTCTGCCCCAGCCTGGCTTCCCCTCGCCACCCCTTCTGCCATGACATCATTGTGTGTTTGTCTTCAGAGAGGGACAGGAACAGAATGTGAACTCTGATTTCCTCAGTGGCTGGAAGCCAAGAGGACGTGCAGAGCTGCTTCACTTCCTGTGGTGCCTGACTCAGGCCTCAGCACCCCCGTGCAGAAGCACCTCTTCCTTTCATCCCCTCCCCACCTTGGCAAGGCCAGGGCTTGCTTGTCCCACCTCCTAAAGATTGATTGGATCTGTGCTGTCCGGTCTTCCCTGGAATATGAGTCTCACGAGGACCAGACCAACCCAGTCATGCCTTGCTGCAGCTAGTGCTTAGCCCAGTGCCTCGGCTGGTGTGGAGGTGGTGCTTGGTAGTGCCTGCCCAGTACTGGGGTACTTTGCTCTCCTAGTTTCTGGCCTAGGGCCACATCAACTCCATTTAGGACCGTTGTACCAGGGTGGACTGTCCCTGGTTGTGTCCTTAGTCCCCACGTCTTTCTCAAAGTCCATCCTCCTGGCTGCTGCATTGGTGCTATTTCAAATACAGAACCGCCCTCACGCAGCTTTCCAGCCCAGGACCCATTAGTGCCTTGGTGTTGTCTGAAGTCCCCACTTGGTGTCATGACATGCGGGAGCCCATGTGACCTCCCCGCTTCTCCAGGCTCCTCTCTGATACCATCTCCCGCCACTCCCTGCCTTCAGTGTTCTGGCCATAAGGAGCAAGTTTGGCTTAATATTTGTGTGCGCGTGCGCATGTGTACACACACACACACACACACACACACACACACACACCCTTGAAGAAATGCAGCTGTGCATTTGCACAGTGGTTCCCCTGTATTTAAAGTTTAGCTCAGATGTCACATCCTCTGGGAAGGCTTCTGTTCCTTTCCCTCCATTGGGCTCCCCTGCCCCCCATGCTCACTGTGATGAGCGCCCTTTGGACGTGGACTGACAGTGTTTCCTTGTGCCTTTGCTCCCCAAGCTTCACTGTGAGCCTTTTAAGATTTGATCTGATTCCCTTTCTTCCGTCTGCATGTGTCTTGGGGTCTGCCACTGAGTGGTTGCTCAGTTAACGTTGAATTGAATGCCTCATGGGAGCAGCTGCCCCTGCAGATATATAGAAGCTGGGCAGGCATTCAGTGGGCTGTCTGGGGACTCTGCACTAAGGATGGGGTGCACTGGGGCCCCTGAAAGGCCTGTCTAATTCCCGAGGCCCTGCTCGGCCTCCTTTTACCATAGACCAGCAAGGTGCATTCCAGCCTCGATGGGCAGCTCCCTTGAATCTCAGAGTGAGGCAGGAGTCATTGGAGGATGGAGCACATTGAACCGGGCCCAGTGAGGCCATGTTGTGATGGGACACAGCAACTCTATGTGGTGACCTGGATGTTCTCAAGAAATGCCAAGTCTGGAGTCCTTCTAAGGCATTATCCAAGCTCGTGTCTTAATGATTTTTGACAAGATCTGTAGGACATTTCCAACTCCTGCTGCCCTGGGAGAGCTCAAGCAGTAGCATGGTTTACAGGAGAACTTCTGGGGTGGTGAGTAACCACTTGAAGAGGTGCCTGTGGATGCCTGCATACACTGGTGGTGTGTGGGAGAGTACGTGTGTCCAGGGCTACCCAGTATGGAGACATGGTTGGCCTGGGGAAGCATCTGCACCCCTTCCCCTTGCCAGGCTTCCTGCAGGTGGTAGTGTCCATGGTCTGCAGAATCTCTGTGGGACAAATGGTCTGGTGGGTGGGAGCAGCAGGGCGAAGGTCATAGTCTGCTTGGTGGCAAGCCAGAGAGAGGCTGCCCAGGGCTAGGTCGCCTGCTCACCACGTGGTGGAACTGGGACCTTGCTGCTGGAGAAGTGGCAGGAAACGGGAGAAGCCACATGAACAGTTCTGCCTTTAACTTGGCTTGACTCAGGCACCAGGGGCAGGGCCAGTATTCACAGTCAGAAACCCCAGCAGAGCAGAAGAGGGTGGCTGGCAGTGCTTCTGTTTGTTGGATGCCCCGGCTAGCCCACGTGATGTTCACTGCTGCCCATCTGAGCCAGGTTGACTGTTGCAGGTTCTTTAGTCCACGTCACTGCTCTGTGGTCGCTGAGGGCTTTGTCCCACTTGCCCAGGTCTTTGGAGGGAGAGCTTGGGCCCCTTCCCCACTCCCGAGCTCCCGACAGCCTGTGCCTTTGTGTTTCTCTGGCAGGAGTACCTGGAGGCCATTCACCAACTCTATGAGGAGTGGCTGGTCACAGGAAGCCTCTTCCCTGTGGCAGCCCCTGTTCTGGTAAGTCAGACCCCTCACAGGCAAGAGACTTCTTTAGGGAAGAGTGACCCAGGGCATGGCAGCCTCTGCAGATGGGGAAGAGTTGAGTCCTTCCAGCCAGAAGGAGAAGTATGGGAAGGCTGAAAAGATCCCTGTCTCTGTCAGTCCTCATTCCCAAACTGAGTCTTAGAGTGAGTTGGACTGACCTGAGAAGGCCATTTGTCCCAGTGCCATCACAGCTAGTGATGTGTAACATGTGACTTACCCAGCATTGACCCAAAAGCCCCAGGTGCCCGAAGCCTCTGGACCTGGGTTGGGGTTTGGATCTTTGGGGACCGTGGTGCCTCTGATGTGACCTTCCTTCTTTAGTGGATGACACAGAGCCTCAGTTCACCTTGGCTCAGTGACTCAGGGTCATCAGAAGGAACATGAGCTGCTGTTCTGGGCTGTGACACGGGGATGCCCTTGGGAGGTGCTGAGGTGTGTAGGACTGTGTGTCCCGGTGACTGCTGTCCTTGAGTTCCCGCGCTGCTTTTCACAGTAACCTGTTTCTCTTACTGGTGCATGTCACTTCTAATGGTCCTAATATATCCGTCCTGTCAGTGTTTCTCAGTGCTTGTTCCCTTGGGTTCAGATTTTCTGGCCCAGATTTCTCCAGTAGGCAGGTGGTAGTGCTGCTACCATACTGTGGGTGATGAGCTTCTGTGCATGACTCTGGGCTGTGCACTCTTCTAGCTCTTGCAGGTAGTGAGGCTACAGGCAAGGGAGGTATCACTATGGTGGGTCTTTAAAGAAGTTTTATGTTTTTCCTCTTTATAAAAGTAGAAACTGTAAAATGAGGAGGATAAAACCATTCTGCAAAGATAACTTGTGGACTTAGACGTGAAAATCTAGTTGAGAGTGTAGACCACCCTAGAGCTAGGTGCTGTTTGGCTCTGACCTCTCTGTGCCCTTGGGCTTCTTTTCCTTTCCCTGCCTACCCCGCCTGCTTCCATTTCTGTCTTCTTTTGTGAAGGGAGGGGGACCTGGAGGTCAGTGCACCTGAGGTTGTGACCTGTGTGTTTCATTTCCAGGTGATTGAGGCAGACCACAACATGGAGAAGGTGTTACAAGTACTTGAACAAAACCGGGCCCGGATATTAGCACCACAGAATTGGAAGCACGGCCCTTAGGACGGGAGAGGTCTGTGGGGTCGGGCCAGGAACATGCCCACAGCTGCCAAGTCAGCTGTTAGGAAGAATTTCGAACAATCTGCTGTAACAAGGCCTTTTATCTGGCCAGATCTAATTCCTGATGGTCCTTTCTCCTTGGCCTCTGTCTTCATCACGGGTCTGTGGCCCTTGTGGGTAGATGACAAATGGGACCAATATGTTTGTCGCCCTTCGGTGTGTGTAGCCTGTATTCCCCTAGTGGCTTCCCACTACTGGATCCCTCTGCTGAACTCCTTAGGAACAGCTCCTGCTCTGCCTGACCCTGTGCTGGGGTCTGTGCCTGTCAGTCACTCAGGGGAGCGAGGGAGGGGCCTTACATCTCAGGCGAGGAATTCGAAGTTCACAGAGATTAAAGACTCCTCAGGGTCACACAGCCAGTGAGCCATGAAGCTGATAGCATTCATACTTTTGGTCCAGGCTGAGAGATGGTCCCTAAAGCCTGCCCTTCCCTGCCCCTTCTCTGTGGGGCGAGCTGGCAGTGCATCCTCCCATCACTGAGCAGTGCTCAAGGACAATCGGGATTTCTAGCTGTTCGGCTTGAGCCCAACATTAAATGGTTTCACAGCACGAAAGCACTGTGGCCTGTACCCGTTGTCAGCTGGACGTTAGTGGTCACAGGAGAATCACACGTGGACTCCTGAATGGTGCCCAGACTCCTTGGGGATGAAGGTCCTGCCTAAACCGCCCCCGGTGCCACATCAGGGAAGTAGTGTTTGGGGCCTGGCCAGTTTGCCTAGTGCTAAGCTAGGCCAGGGGTGGCCAACGCAGCCAGTCCTGGCTTCTGAGGCTCTCTTCCTGTGTGCTTGTGTGAGGAACTTTGCTCTTGGAATTACTTAGCACTTACGGTCCACAGAGAGAGGCACAAGTGGCCTTAAGTCTTTTTGAAAGGTTTTTCCATCCAGGGGGAAATCCTGAGCCACAGAGCATGAAACCATCTTTTCAGGTTCAGAAGATATTATACTTCGATCAGCTGTGACAAGGCACCGAAGGCCCATCTGCCTCTTCCAAGTAGAAATCAGAGGAAGAAAGACCATTCTATGGGAGCGGTCTGAACAGCAAAGTCGGGGTTTGCAAACAGAGGCTCTGGAAGCTTTGCTGGAGGTGGGCAGAGGGCACGTGAAGACTGGGCATGAACACGGGTGTTACTGACTCTGGAGGAGCACAGCTGCGGGCAGTCAGCTGTGAACAAAGGTTACCTCTCCCACCCCCTGAGTGTGGACTCACGTGCCTCTCCACGTGCCGGGAGGGCCAGTCTCAGACAGTGCGAAGAGGTCAAGGACGCCAGCTCCTAGTCCTTCCTGTTTGGGCCAGTTCTTGGGCCTCGTCGGCTGAATGAGGCACAGCAACCAAGGGCAGCGTGGGGACTGTGTCCGTCAGCACCTGTCACCCTGTGCTGGTGATTAACCAGAAAACTGGAGAAGTCAGGCACCTTTGCTGTCAGGAATCTTGACATGCCGGGGCAGTTTTTGGGAGTTTGTAAATGAACAGTGCAATACTTGGCTCTTGGCTCAATTGTAAATGAGCAGTGCAATATCTTCTCCTTGGCTCGATTTGAGCATCTGTTTTGGGGAGAAATGTAATTTTATCATTGTGATAATCAATAAATCCTTCACCTAAATCTTAATGTTAATTTTTGAGTGCTTCCTTTGCAGTGCTTTACCTCCCTGCGGCACCCTCTTGCCACTAGGATAATGTGTTTTTATTTTTTAAGCACTGCATTTCCTAACATGGGATGCATAGGGTCGGAAAGTCCACTGGCACCTGAGAAGCGGCTGTGTGTGTCAGCAGGGGCTGGAGCTGGTTGCAAGGTCCTTGTGGCCTGGAGATCACATCTGCAGTGGCCGCAGCCAGCTTCCGCAGGCGCTGCTGTCCTGGGTGGATCACAGAGCAGGTACGAACACTAGCACAAACCAGGGCTAGAAAAGGGCCTTGGAAGCAGGGAGGCCCTTGCCACAACCTCCAGGAATGGCTGAGGAGCATGGCGTTGCTGAAAGAGCGGAAGGTAGGCGAGGGTTAGGGTAATGACATTTCACAACTGCTGGTGTCTCCCCATTTTTACCCTGGGGCTGGGGATCAGCAGAGTATAGTCAGCATATTCAGAGCCTCCTCAGCTGCTCTGACTCGTGGAAAAAACTTTTTTGAAGAGTTGAGCAGCTTATACATTTTCTCCTAGTTGGATTTTGAATGAAATAATTGAAATTTACATTTAAGCATTTTGGTTTTACATGCACAGTGTATGATTAGAGCCATTCAATATACTTTATGTTCCTGGTAATTTTTTTTTTTTTTTTTTTGTCTTTTTGAGACAGGGTCTCACCATGCAGTTCAGACTAGTCTTGAGCTTACTTTGTAGCCCAGGCTTTCTTTGAACTCACAAAGATCCTTCTAACTCAGCCTCCCCATTGCTGGGATTACAGGCATTTGCCACCACGCCCGGCCCATGTTCCTGGTAACTAAAAAATAAAATCACCTTACAGGATAGAAACCCATTTATCTTTCCTATGGAACAGTTGTGTGTAGGTGGGTGGTCTTGGGGTGGGCTAGTGGCTCTGTAGCTGTCATGGTTCAGGTTCTCTTCTTCCTTTCTGTTCCTGGTTCCTGGAGGTTTCACTCTCTGGTTCATGGCCTCCCTCCTTCAGGGGCCTAACTGTCCAGGAGGGTGGCCAGAGCTCTTGTCTGACCAGTGTTGGCAAGAGGGCAGCTGGCCTCCCATTCACCCTATAATTTGGATAGTGACCCTTTCCCAGGCATAACTAAGATGTCAGAACTTTGCTCGAGGCCGTAGAGGGAAGTGGTCAGGGCAGGAGGAAACTCAGCACCCTCAGAATGGGCCACATGGTCTGACTGCAGCACTTGGTGCCCTCGGCCCAATGTCACGTCACCCTCCCCACTCTGTGTTATAATGTTGGCTCTGCCTGCTTCTTGTGCAGGGTGTAACCCAAGGACAAGTGAGACCACCTTGTCTTCGTTCTGTGATGTAAGTGACCAAGTTCACAGATGAGTGATGTAAACCTGGAAAATGATGTCATCTAGCTTTTGTTCATTAGTTTTTCTTTCTGCTTCTTTTATTTTATCTGAGCCCTTCATCTAGGTGAGCTGTGTCCCTGCCTGGAATAAACATCCATCTTTCCCTGGGTGCCTGACTCCCACCATCAGACCCAGTGAAGGGTGGTTATATTAAAACTCAGCACATAAAAGATATTTCTAAAACCTATCTACACTTAGGTGCTGCTGAAGCTGGGCTACCTGTGTTCCTCGAGCCCTGGGGTAGGGTGTCCGTGCTTCCTTTAAACGCTTATGTATTTGTGGAATGACTGACATTGTTCTTTAGTTCTGTCCACCTGTGAGGAGTTTCTTATTAAAATAATTGATAGGCTATTGAGAGTGTCAGCCTTCCATTGTTGAGAACACAGGGATAGTAGCCTGACTCCACTGGGCTTGGACACAGGATTATTCACCAAAGGCATCATGGTCTGTCTTGGTTACTTTTCTTTCGTTGCTGGGACAAAATATCTGGTGCTTAAAATTACAGGAGGAAAAGTTTATTTAGCTCACAGTTTGTGAAGGTTTCAGTCCATACTCCGCTGGCTCCAAGGCATGGTGGCACATGGCAGAGGGCAACATTTTTCATGGCAGTGGAAAACAGCAAAAGCAGTAAGAACAAAAAGGGAGGAGCAGCAAGAGCTTTATAACTCAGAGGTTATAAAAAAGAGCAAGCCTCTTTCCCTACCTTACGTTGCATGGGGGCAACTGCCCCAGGGCGGATCTAGCACTTACACCCATAATCCCAGCATTGGACCACGAATTAATCACAAATTCTAGAAGCCCACCTCAGGACTCTGAAGTTTTGAGGGGACATCTAGACACAGGCCGTAACAATGTCACTGGCACAAACTTTCTTCACATAATGACCTCAACCCTATGGCTCCTCCAAAGCTGGAGTGAATTTTATGTTCCTGTGATTTATATAAGAAGGAAATGGGGCCAAAGCTGTCATTAAACAAAAAGGGAGAGAAAGTCTATCTCATGGGATCCCGAAGGTGTTGGCATTTGAATCACAGAAGCTGTCTTGAATTTCTGGATTTTTTTCACTTTTCCCCCCTTCAAGACTAGTGCTTACCAGATGGCCCTGTGGAACATGAGCACCCTGTTGATAGGTGCGCTGAAAAAGAAGGGATCTGCAGTCCTGGAAGTTTGGGAAACCACTTCTGTACTTTCCAAGTACGCACAAGACACATTAATCTAGATAAAAGGAAATCCTGCAAAAACCCCCAAACAAACCTGGTTAACTTTGTTTAAACCAGGAGCTCTCAAACTTACTTGCCCATGGAACACTTAATCTGAGGACTACCATTAATGTCGTGAGCACCGGTGTTCCTTGGAACACATTTTGGGAAGTGCTGCTTTAGATGAGCCCAGCTGCTGCTGGCCGCTTGGCTCTGTGCCACTGGGATCTTGAGCTCAGCTGTTCTCAAACTTTGAAACATCCAGGTCACTTGAGGGCTTGTTAGGATGCAGATCTCGAGGCCCCACCATCACAGTTTCTAATTCAACCTGTCAAGAAAGCCTGAGAATTTGTTTTCTAGCTATGTTCCAGGTTATGCTGAGGCTGCTGGTCCAGGGATCCCCTCTTTGAGAATCTGGTCCAGTTTTACACTTTCTAGAGTTGGACATGCAGGAACTCAAGGAAAATGGTGTTCAGCCTCTCATGAGCTCTGGTTAAGCAAGAGCATTGCTTTTCAGGGTTGTGAGGAAAACTGAGTTGACATGGAATGGGCCCAGACCAGGGCCTGCTGTGCAGCAAATGCCCAGTAAATGTTAGTGCAGGTGATGTGCCCGGAAAAAGCAGGCCATGGTGCAGTTAGTGGGCTCAGTAACCACACTGACCAGCCCTTTGTCACAGTGTGGAAGCTTAATGTCACAGATTAATAGGGGCCGTCTTGACTTACCTGTTAGGAACAGGTCACAGGCCTGGCCAAGGCTGACCTTTGGAATCACACCTCTGAAAAATGTCTCATGACATTTTTGCAGTTACAGATCATGGGACCAACAACAACAACAAAAGTTCCTATTTTTTCCAGGGACTCTGGTTCTATACCTAACACATGGTAGCCTGAGAGGGAGGACCCGCGGAGATGGGGCTGCTTCTCAGGCCATGGAACCTGACACCTCCTTTTTTTTTTTAAAACTAATAATCCCTTGGGGTTCCTTACATTAAACCAATGGTTGCTTATTCTGTCATCACCTTTCTTGGAAAATCTCTTTCTTTACAGGCCCAGGTGACCTCTTAACCGGCCCTTTCTCTAATGCACAGAGCAGGTACTGGGGATGAGCAGAACTTGACAGTTCCAGGCTCATCTTAAAAAAATGCTCAGAAAAATTAGCAATAATGGATGAATCTTAACCTTTTGGGTTTTACTTGAGTTGTGGATGGAACCTGGACTTTGGGATCAGAACAGGGGCTGGGATCCCAGTTTCTCTAGTTACTAAGACCTTGAGCAGGTCACCTCACTTCTCTGATCCTGTTTTTTCCCCTGGACCCTAGGGCTCTGTTTTTTCTTTCATAAGGGATGGGCTGGACAGATGAGGAAGGGGGTGTTAAGTGAATGACAGGCTCTGCCTGGCTTCTTCTGATCTCCTCCACTCTATACTGGCTGCAGAGGCAAGAGGGAGAGGTTTATGGTTGGGTACTCTGTAAGCCTTGGGTACTGCATTATATTTTCAAAACAGGTTTCTCCATCAGGGCTGTGGGGGAAACTATCTCTACATCCTTGGCTGGCTGCCATTTACTCAGGGTGGAGGCTGCAGGCTATCCACAAGCAGGCACTTCTCTCCCTGTGCTGGGCCCACACTGGTGAACAGGGTGGCCCCAGGCCCTCCTCCATAGGGCAGGTAGCTTAGCTCCTCAAAGTATCCCTGAGAAAACCACTCGCCCAGGAAGGAGGGCACCAGACGCCTCAACCTCCCCTTTCTTGTGGGGTGCAGAGTTAACTTCATCATGCTAACGTATTTTGAAGTGTCAACTGTAAAACTAACACAATTTCTGTGAAGTAGCCGTCTATAAAATGGACATAAAAATAAACAGGTCATAATGTTGCTTTACAATAGCAACAAAGATGATTAACTTGGAATAAACTTAACAAAAATACAAAATCATATGAGAAAAATGCCCAAACACTCCTGAAAACACACTAAATAAGATCTACAAATGTAAAGTCATCTCCTATACTTGCATAGGGTGACCCAACATTGTAAGGATGTTAGTTCTCCCTAAATTAAATTAATTTAACAAATTTAACACAATTTTTTTTTTTGGGGGGGGGACAGGGTCTCTTTCTGTAGTCCAGGCTGGTGTTGAACTCATTATTTCACGCAGGCTGGCCTTGAACTTGGATGATCCTCCTGCCTCAGCCCCCTGAGTGCTGGGATTACAGGTGTGTGCCACCACGCCCAGCTGTTGAACACAATAAAAATACCACAGATTATTTTATAGTTAGACGTGTTGTATTAAAGTTCATACAGAAGAAAACTAAAGTTGATATAGGAATAATAAACCTGTGAAAAGTAAAACAACAACAAACCATGATGTAGGACTAACTGTACCAGACATTAAAACATATTGCAAAACTC